CAATCAGGTAGCCTGACGATTGCGTCTAGCATGAAACAGCCTGTCGCCTCTAAGTGTTGACTTCAATGTTCACTTTTATATTTATATATATATGTGTGTGTGTGTGTATGTGTGTGTGTGTGTGTGTGTGTATGCGTGTGTGAATGACATTATATATACATATATATATGTACATATATTATATATACATATATATACATATATTATATATACAGATATATATACAGATATATACATATCGACATTATATATACATATATATATATATATATATATATATATATATATATATATATGGATGACATTATATATATATATATATGACATTATATATATATATATATATATATATATATATATGACATATATATTCTATATATATATATATATATATATATATATATATATATATATTCTTAAACTGATATCTAACGATCGACTCCAATCAAAATTTGACCAATTTAACGTAGTAAGGCTCACTGTAAAGTCCCGTACAGTACTTCCTCGGTCATCCGGACTTCAATTTTCCGGATTTCTATTATCCGGACGTGAGATGAAGAGACAAATTGAAATCATCCGAACATTTGGTAACCAAACTAAAGATTTTCTAATATTTCTTATGAGCAGAGCATTTTGAAAATTTAGGAAACTGTATTCTACATTCAAAATTTCAGTATCGAATACCGAATCATATTTTTAAGTTGTTTGCGCTTTCAACAAGAAGCAATCATTACAAATGCATGTCAAACTTTAACGGCAAGAACGCCCCACACTACTTGCATTGTAGTAAACATCCACATTCTCTCCGTATTACACTGGCGAGAAGTTCCACTCAAACAGCTTCTTCTCATGAATCACTGCCTTCTAGAACATTCTCCCAAAATGATGTTTCTCCGATCATTACAATGCTAATCTGGTCAAGTCTAGAGTTAAACGTTATCTTCCGCTCCTTTCCTTATAAACTACCCTTAACGGAATCCCCGACTTCACGTGGCCTCCGATTCTTGAACCGGGAGAAACTGACTGTAAAAAAAAAAACAAACACAAAAACTTAGTGAAATGCTGCGTTTCTGTTCCGCATTTGCAAACAACTATGACATCCAGTCTTCTTTATGGCAGTTAATACCTTCAGCATTCTCCTTTTTATTTTTATTATTTTTTTTTCTATTCTCTTCTTTGACTCCTCCTTTCTTGATTCTCTTTCCGATTCTTATTTTCCGTGTCATCCCCCAATATGCATAACTTTTTATGTAGGCAAGGGCCGTGTCTACTTGGGGCTGGCTCATTCGAGATGTAGGTCGGTAGAAAATGAAGCCGGCCAGGCCACCCACCAATATCAACAAGAAAAGCTCTACAAAAGCCTTATCACCTTCGTTCAAATGCGAATAATCCCACGATCACACAGAACGCTCATACCTCGAAACAGACGCAACAGAAACGCACATAATTCGGTAGGCATACACACGTTTACACAGAGTGGTAAACACACCTGAGGTCACAAAGACATATGTAAATACACGAGTCTACACTAGAATGCACACACACACACATCTATCTATCTATCTATCTATCTATCTATCTATCTATCTATCTAGATAGATAGATAGATAGATAGATAGATAGATAGATAAATAACTAACTAGCTATCTTAATCTGATCATTATTTATCTATCTATCTATCTAAGTAGCTAGCTAGCTTGCTATCTAGATAGCTATGTGTGTGTGTATATATATATATATATATATATATATATATATATATATATATATATATATATATATATATATATGCTTGTCTGTCTGTGTGTGTATGTTTGTGTGAGAGTGCCTGTGTGTGTGTGTGTGCCTCTGTGTGAGAGTGAAATATTTCATCTTTTGGATGCTATTAAAAACTTGTCAAGCATAGGCTAACTAAAACGTCTGCTCATTGACTATCTGTCTATCTACACACAAATCTATCTATCTACCTCTTACTTTCTCCCACTCTCTCCTTCTCTTTCTCCCTCTATATATCTCTCTCTCTATATATATATATTTGTGAGTGTGGGGCACCTCGGCGTGGTGTAATGGTTACCAAGCTTTCTCGCTAGATCAGTTACAACTGAAAAGTGAGTTCGATCCTCACTAGATGCCCCATACTTTCGGCCTTGTGCCACATCTAAGCTATGCTTGGCAAATAACTATATATATATAGATGTGTGTGTGTGTATGTGTGTGTAAATTCCAGAATTCAGGCTGATACTGAATTATCGCGTATGGTCCTTGTATTTAAATTGGATCGCAAAAATATTTTTATTTAGCCCACCTATAGAGACGATAATCATTTTTTTTTGGGGGGGGGAGGTCACAGAATCTTAGGTAGGTTTTCATTCAATCTTCGTCAGTGTTTAATAAATATACGTCGGAATTGAACCGGGGGTATGTCACTGACACAAATTATTGAAATCAAAAATAAGTTCATGACAAAAGAAACGATAGAGAGCAAAGCCAGTTAGAAGAAACATAAGGTTACCTACTCCCTCCCCAACACACACACACACACACACACACACACACACACATTGTCAACTGTCACATTCTGGGAATGTTGTGCATTATAACTTATAATCATTAGCTGATTTATTATGAATATAAAATTAATAGCATCTTCTTAGGAACCAGCAATTAATAATATTTTTTATTTTAATTTTATAATCAATAAAGAATAATTAATTTTATTTCCATTATTAATATCTGGTTTTTATATAATTTTTATAATTAATATTAAATTTTTATTTTTATCATTAATCCTGCTTATTTTTATTTTATTTGTAATCAATATCGGACTTTTATCTAATAATTATAATTAATAGCGAATTATTATTTTTATTTCCATTATTAATACCTGCTTTTTTAAGAGAAGCAAAAATTGCCCACTATTCGTATAGTAAGAGTCAAATTCAAAGTAAGTTAATACCTTGAGTTTTTCGTGTTAACAGGGAGAGAAAAAGCAAAAAAAAAAAAAAATACTATTCAGAATCAAAGATTAAATCAGTCCCCACCCGTTGAGTTGTGATAACTAAGAGTTGGGTATATTGATTGATATCATGAATATGAATTGAAAATTAATTTATTCTGCAGAAACTTGCAGTAGTTATTTTTTTACCGTTTATTGATGCGTCTGTTACCGCTTACGTCCTCAGAATCAGGTATTCTCAACTATAAAAGTTTAAATAAAAGAGAGATTTTAATTATACAACAACTGATTATACTGAACTGTTCACATTATTCGGACTAATGTCCTCATTTTAGTCGCCATATTTATTACAACGTTTCGGCCGTTAATTCCCCTCTCCAAGTTCTCCACCGCCTTAACCAGGTATTGAACTCGCACTCTTTCGGTCCTGTCACTGAATCTAACTAACGCCTTTATCCACTGTGGGACCTGGTTAACGCGGTGAAAAACTTAGAGACAGAGGAATTAACAGGAGATAACTGATAACTGATATGCATTAGACATGGCACGTGGAACTAGAACAGTCTACCCCAGAGAGCGAAATAAATGGTTCAACGTATAACGAAAAAAACTCACCTTTTATGAAACCGAATGCGGTCCTAAGATATATCAATACGACATCTAACTACACATCGGATATAATTAAACAAATCCCGTTAGTAGTGCAATATAGGCTAGTCGCAATATTCGCCTAATGAAGATATATTTAACGAAAAACAGAAAGCATACGTATCTGTATTAAAAGGGGGGCATAACGCTAACCTTCATTTTAAAGAACGAACGAAGCCGTGAAATAATAATATTAATAAAAGAAAGAGGAACATAATCTGGTTCAACCCACCTTTCAACACACAGGTAAAAACAAACATACAGAAGTGCTTATCTAATATATTGGAAAACATACGTTTCTTTCTATTTCTGAATCTTATTTAAAATACATAAGGTCGTTTTCAAAATTTTCTAGTTCTTTCAAAACTGGAGGGTATTTATCTATTTTTAACAGAGGTATATTACAATTTACAGGGCACATCGACTTGGTGTAATGGTTAGAAAGCTTGTCTTTCTAGATCAATTACGACTGAGTAGTGAGTTCGATCCTCACTGGGTACCCCATACTTTCGGCCTTGTTCCACATCTAAGCCAGGCTTAGAAAAACACTATTACGATTTACAGGTCGGTAACATTAAGGATGCTGAGGATATAAACCGATCGTGAATTCTGTGGGTAGAACACATCAATATTTTGCATAGTTCCTTTTAAGCTATCTGTCTATATTTCTGAGATGAGGTATTATGTACACTATTTACATTATTTGGATATTGTCCTCATCTTTGTCGCCATATTTATTACAACGTTTCGGCCTTTCAGTATCTGTCTATATTTCTGAGATGAGGTATTATGTACACTATTTACATTATTCGGACTATTGTCTTCATCTTTGTTGCCATATTTATTACAACGTTTCGGTCGTTGTTAATTCTCCTCTCCAAGTTCTCCACCGCTTTAACCAGGTATTGAACTCACACGCTTTGGGTCCTGTCACTGGATCTAACTAACGCCTTTATCCACTGTGCCATTTGTTCTTAAGGATAATTGATAACTGACATCCGTTAGACATGGCACGTGGAACTAGAACAGTCTACCCCTGTGAGCGAAATAAAGGTTAAATTCGACATTCCAACCACCTGAAGAAGTCCGGAGCGTACAACGGCCGAAACGTTGTAATAAATATAGCGACAAAGATGAGGATAATAGTCCGAATAATGTAAATAATGTACATAATACTTCAGCTCAGAAATATAGACAGACACTGAACTGTTTTATAATTTCAGTCCTCCTATATAGCCGTGAATGCTGGGCAATCTCTTCACAGAAGAAGCAAGAGAAATATGTACAAGTTGTTCTCGGTGACTGAATACAGAATATTTCCTCATAAGGAAATGGCTAATATTACCATTATCCTTAACTTTACTGTTGGACGACAGATATCAGTGTATGTCTTAACATGGACACTCTCATGGTATTACTCAGTCAAGTACCTGATGATGGTAGGTGAGGTTGCGTACGATGTGACTTTCGTTTTCACAATGCCTGCACGGATAGAGGCTTTGTTTTGACATCACACAATTCATTCACTCCCTGTTCCCAGATGTGTAAATACCCTATACCTGACACAAGTTTGTTAGCCTCAATCTGTGCACCCAAGTTTGTCAACTCCCATCACGTCAACCAAGTGCCCATCTCATTAATGAGGTTTACCAGCCACTTTTTCAGTCAGCCAGACCCCCCCCACCTCTTTCACAACAGCCAGGCTCATCTTTTCGGGCAGCTCACTAAATAACATTTGGGAACTTGGTAGAAGCATAATTTTCGTCAAACCTCGTAGACGATTACTACTCTAGTGAGTTCAAAATATGCTTATGTGAAGTTAAAAGCAATGTGCTTCGACTTAACATAAATGTTAACATGCAAGGCTCTCAGCTCATTCCGACACAAGTGTCTATAATCAATGTGCGACCGTTTCTTTGATCAATACACGGCGCCTTTTCCTAGAGCAACATTTAGAAACTTATTCCTGTGAACTACTGTGAATTTGATACTCACTGGCTGCTGCATATCTTTTAAATTTAGCCGTGAGGATCTAAGCTTAGTAAATATTAAGTCCTTCAAAACAGTTTTTGTCTAATATTGTGAAAGATCAAGGCTAAACCAAAACGTTCTTTCTGTTTTTCTTTCTTTTTCCTTTCTTCCTTTTTTTTCTGTATCCTTCCTTCCTTCTTTTTTTCTTTCTTTATTTCTTTCTTTCTTTTTCCTTTCTTTCTTTCTTTTTTCTTTATCCTTCCTTCCTTCCTTTTTCTTTCTTTCTTTCTTTCTTTTTTTCTTTCTTTCCTTTCTTTATACCCTAAATACTTATTCTTTTTTCTCTTCTTCGGTTTGTTATTCTGCCATTTCTTCCTCTTTTACTGTCATTTCATTAGCAATTTTTCTATCTTTCCTTCCTCTCCGTTATCTCTCTCGTTTTCATCTTTCTTTCTTTCCTTTTCTCCTAGTGTTTATTATTATTATTATTATTATTATTATTATTCTCTTTCCTTTTTAGCTATTTCTTTTTTTCGCTCTTTTTCCTTTCTGTCTTTTACGTCCCCTTCTTTTGATTTATTCTACTGCTTTTTTTGCCTTTTCTTATTATTCTTTTCCGTCATCTTTGTTCTTCTATGTTTCTCCTCCTTTCTTTTTCTTCACTTTTTTTCTTTTTCTTCTCCGTCTTTTTGTTCTTTCTTTTTCTTCTACTCTTTTTTCCTTTGCTTTTCTTTAGTCTAAAGGTTTTTCTATTCTTTTTCGCCTGTCTTTTTTCTAATTCTTCTATATTATTCTTTTGATTTACGGCTTTCAATTTTTTTCACTTCTTTTTTCTTCTTTTTCAGCTTTCGCATTTTTTTTTTTTTTTTTTACTTTTTTCTTCCATTTCCTTTGTTTTCTTCTACTGCTTTTTATCATTTTCCCTCTGCTTTTTTGTTTGTATTCCTTCTATTTTTCTTCTTTTTTTTATTGTTTTTCTTCTTCGTTTTCATTCTATTTTTCTTCTTTTTGCTATTGTTTCTCTTCTTCGTTTTCCTTCTATTTTTCATCTGTGACGGTTACACACCTGGCCCAGGGTCGAATCCCTTGGTTACGGCGCCAACTGTGACGTCGTTCCTCCTGGTCGCTCCTCCTGGTTCCAAGCGTGCCGCTCCAACCCCTTGGTTGGATGATCACCAGCCTCGCCTTTTCCCAACTCGCTTCCAATACCTGGTTACTGAAGCAACTGTACTGATCTCCGGTCTGTCTACCCACGCTGTGTTTAGATCTTAGACAGACAGGACCAGCAGGGATTGGGGCCGATACAAGTTGAGTCCGACGGGGTGGCAAAACACAAGTAAAAAAAAAAAAAACTCACGAGACAAAAGATTGCTGATAAAAAAAGGGTAACAACCTTTTATATCTAATGTCCGTTACATAAAAACAAAATTGTTCTCATTTCCCGACCCGCTCTGTGGACTATGGCACAAGCTTCTATCACACAACCTAAAGATTTCGAATTGCCTACTCTTTAGAATTGTGTATGTCGGAGTGTGGTTTAGTTCGACACTGGGGCTAATTTCTATCGATCATTCGCAGTTGATTCTTCTCTTCGACTTGAGTTGTATTTCTTCTTCTTCGTCGACTTAGATAGAACTTCTCTTGTCTTCGACTTGGGCTGGATCTTCTCTGCGGCTTTCAGGTAATCTTCTTCTTTGTCCACTTGGGCTGGAAGTTCTCTTGTCTTCGACTTGGGTGGAAGGATTTCTTGTTTCGACTTGGGTGGAAGGATTTCTTGTTTCGACTTGGGTGGAAGGATTTCTTGCCGCAACTCAGCCGCTACTCTCTGTCGTCCGAGGTGATCTCTTCTCGCTGCCGTCCGGGGCTGAACTCATGTCTTCGGCTTGGGCTGGAAGGATTTCTTGTCTGAGGATTCTTTTGCCCGCAAAGGGGCGAGTGAATCGGGCCTGATGCCCGCGTTCAGGCTCTATCCCTGCCCGCGGTCCAGCTGCAACTCATTTCTGTCGACTGGGGTCCTGCTTTTATTGACGCCGCAACAAAACGGGGTGGGTTTGTCGGCGTCAGGGGTTTCTCGATAATTCCAATAGCCGCATTATTTCTGTCTTCCCATTATCGCTATTGTTTTCACCCTACTTCCTCCACAGTGCCTTTGGTGGGGAGGCGTACACCCATCTCTCCCGGTTTCTCGTATGTCAGGTGACCGTTTTTGACCAATGGTTCCTGATCGAGCATTCTTCCTCTTCTTTCCGCATATCACGTGACCGCTTTCGGCTAATGAGATTGTGGTTGGGCGCCTCCATCTCAAATCGGGCGTGGCTTACATCGTTCTTGTTTTAAAAAACAAAATCTAATTTTGCCCTTTTTGCACGTACGAAAAATGACAATCTTGGCTTTTTTCTCACCTGGGCTCTGTCAAAACAGCCTGCCGCTAATTAGATGTGACTTCAGGAAAGAATATTGGCGCCATCTGTGAGCTGAGACAATCGTTTTTTCACCTCTTGTTTTTGTCAGACCCGACAGTCAGAAAATCTTAATTATCTACATTGAAAATGTCCCCACTTTATTATCGTGGGTTTCCAATTCTTAATAGGTCAGGATCTGTATACCGTTCCACCGGTCTCCCCTCAACCCAAAAGACACTTTTTTCTCCGATTAAAAAAAATTTCGTTTCTATTGTTCTAAAAAAGAAATTCCCCTTTCTCCAATTTGACAATGAGTCTTTCCACGCAAAAGTAGGCTAGGTGCTTTGACCGATATTCTTATCAATTTCAATACACTGTCATCAAGCCTGGTTCTTTTCTCCCTCTAAAGGATTTTTTCATTTCAAATAACAATTCTCTATTGTCTTTTAAAATTCGGCCAACACGCAGGCCAAGATATCTTTCTGACACCTATCTTCGCTTATGACCGGGTCATGCATCATCCATCTCTCTTTCCTTTTTTTCCCTTTCTTCCTCTTTTCCTTCCCCTTCCTTCTTCTTTCCTTAGGATCGTCTAAGTACAACTCTAGTGAATTATTTTCAACTCAATTATTTTCCGTTTAAAAAAAAAATCAACAACCTGTTTAATAAACCGAGTAAAAAAAAAATTAAATCATATTTCTATGAATATTTCTAATAATGCAAGGTGCCACAATCTTTTTCTTATTGATTTTCTACTTCATTTTCCTTCTATTTTTGTTGTTTTCGATATTGTTTCTCTTCTTCGTTTTCCTTCTTTTTCCTATTGTTTCTCTTCTTCGTTTTCCTTCTTTTTCCTATTGTTTCTCTTCTTCGTTTTCCTTCTATTTTTCTTCCTTTTCCTATTGTTTTTCTTCTTCGTTTTCCTTCTATTTTTGTTCTTTTTGCTATTGTTTTTCTTCTTCGTTTTCCTTCTATTTTTCTTCTTTTTCTTATTGATTTTCTACTTCATTTTCCTTCTATTTTTGTTCTTTTCGATATTGTTTTTCTTCTTCGTTTTCCTTCTATTTTTCTTCTTTTTCCTATTGATTTTCTACTTCATTTTCCTTCTATTTTTGTTCTTTTCGATATTGTTTCTCTTCTTCGTTTTCCTTCTATTTTTCTTCCTTTTCCTATTGTTTTTCTTCTTCGTTTTCCTTCTATTTTTGTTCTTTTTGCTATTGTTTTTCTTCTTCGTTTTCCTTCTATTTTTCTTCTTTTTCTTATTGATTTTCTACTTCATTTTCCTTCTATTTTTGTTCTTTTTGCTATTGTTTTTCTTCGTTTTCCTTCTATTTTTCTTCTTTATGATATTGTTTTTTCTTTCACTATTTTCTATTCTTTTTCTTCTTTTTTCTCTTTTTTATTCTTTTTTTTTTCGTTTTCTTCTACTTCATTTTTTTTTACTGCCGCCTTTTTTTTATTATTTTCTGTGTTTTTCTTTTTTCTTTTCTTTTTTTTGATAGTTTTCGTTTTTTTGTTTTCGTCGTAGGAGGAGTTATAATTGTAATAGTAGTAATTTTTATCTCTTCTTTATTTTTTTCTTCCTAAATTCATATCAAAATTGCCACAATTCTTCCTTTTATTGTTAATGCTGAAAATGTTTCTTTGTTACTGCTGTCATCATCTTCATTATTAGCACGTCTACGAGGCCATATTAGTGACCTGCATTGCCACCTCATCTTTCTGGCCGACATTAAAATGGAATAGAGCACACCTTAATAAAAGCCCAATATTTCTTTGGCGGAAATTCCAAAACGATGTCTTTAGTCCGCCTTCTTTAATGCGGGATTTGTCAGGTCGAATTAAAAGTTATGAGCTTCATCCAAAGTTGGTCGTTTTCTGATGGGGGACCAAAAAGAAAAAGAGATAGACACGTATTAAATGTTCACAATTGCCTTTTCTTCTCTTCTTCTTTTCTGTCCTTACTTTCTTTATCGTTGCTTCTATATTTCTTTCTACTTCTCACTTTTTCCTCTCTCTAGTAATTTTCCAGTGTTTGTTTCCTTCTATTGCTTTCTATTATTCTTTCTATCTCACTTTCTGTTTACCTTTTCCCGTTCTGTTTTCACCCTTTTCCAACTGCTTTTAACTCTTTTTATTCTCTTTTTCTTACCTATATACCTCTTTTTCCCGCTTCCTCTTTTCCCGCTTCTTTCTTTCTTTCTTTCTTTTTTATCCTTTCCCAACTGCCTTTAACCTTATGCTTCCTCTTCTTCTTTCTTTTTTTCTTACCTATACATCTTTCCCAGCTTCTTTCTTTCTTCCTTTCTTTATTTTTTTCAATCTTTTTTTCTTCCTTTTCCCGTTCTTTTTTATCCTTTCCCAACTGCCTTTAGCATTATTCTTCCTCTCCTTCTTCTTTCTCTTTCTCTTATCTATACATCTTTCCCAACTTCTTTCTTTCTTTCTTTCTTTCTTTCTTTTTTATCCTTTCCCAACTGCCTTTAAACTTATGCTTCCTCTCCTTCTTTCTCTTTTTCTTACCTATACATCTTTCCCAGCTTCTTTTTTTCTTCCTTTCTTCCTTCCTTTCTTTCTTTTTTTCAATCTTTTTTCTTTCTTTTCCCGTTCTTTTTTTATCCTTTCCCAACTGCCTTATGCTTCCTCTCTTTCTTCTTTCTCTTTCTCTTATCTATACATCTTTCCCAACTTCTTTCTTTCTTTCTTTCTTTCTTTCTTTCTTTCTTTCTTTCTTTCTTTCTTTCTTTTCTCCTTCTTTGTTGGTCCTTTCCTAACTGCCTTTAACTGTATGCTTCCTCTAACTCTCCTTTCGTTTTTTCTTACTAATACCTTTCTTTCCCGCTTCTTTCATTCTTTCTTTCTTTCATTCTTTCTTTCTTTCTTTCTTTCTTGGTCCTTTCCTAACTGCCTTTAACTGTATGCTTCCTCTAACTCTCCTTTCTCTTTTTCTTACCTATTTCTGTTTTTCCAGCTCACTTCTTTCTTTCATTTTCATACTTATTTCTCTCTGTCTCTCTTTTATTTCCTTTCTCCTATTCTGTTTCTTATAAACCCCTCTCTTTTTATCTCTCATTATTTCTCTCTCTGTTACCTCCCTATTATTTCACACTCTGCCTCACTCTTTATTTTCCCTTTCCCTTCTATTTCTACATGATTATAATCTCTCTTTTATCTCCCCTTCTTTTCTTTTCTCTTCTAACCACACTCTCTTATGTGCGTCCCATTCTGCCTTTCTCACGTACAATTTTTTCTCTCTTTATCTCCCTCTCTATTTTCGTTTTCCTTTCTCTCTCTATTTTTACTTCTTCACTCTCTTTCGCTTCCTCGCTTTTCTCGTTTTCCATTTCCTTTCAATTTCCCTAAATCTTTCTTCCACTGTCTTTTTCTTCTTTCCTTTTCTCTCCCAGACTCTATGTTCTTCTTCTTGACTAAAAAATAGCCAGTTATTTTCTATGTTAAGTCAAGATAGCTAATTAAAAGCTAAAATACAGCCGCCCTCTCTTTCTCTCTATCAAATTCGGATATGTTATTATTTTTCATTCTCTCATTTTTAGGTTCTGCCACCAAAGTTGGATAAAGGCTATGTCTTCAGCCATGGAATTTGTTTTTATGTTTACGTATCTGACGCCCAGTTAGTACAATCTTTCTTCTGAGATATGTAAACTGATTGTCAGTTTATAGCGACAATGTGGATGACGGAAGTATGTACTGTTTGATTGCTTTTTTAATTGGCCTTCGATTTTCCCCCGATGAATGCAGAAAATTAAACATTAATATTTATTTGGAATAAAAATAAATGATTATTAGCTGTCTATATTTCTGAGATGAGGTATTATGTACATTATTAACATTATTCGGACTATTGTTCTCATGTTTATCGCCACATTTATTACAACGTTTCGACCTTTCGGTATCTGTCTATATTTTTGAGATGAGGTATTATGTACAGTATTTACATTATTCGGACTATTGTCCTAATCTTTGTCGCCATATTTATTACAACGTTTCGGCCTTTCAGTATCTGTCTGTATTTCTGAGATGAGGTATTATGTACATTATTTACATTATTCGGACTATTGTCCTCATGTTTGTCGCCATATTGATTACAACGTTTCAGCCGTTGTACGCTCTGGCCTTCTTCAGGTGGTTGGAATGTCGAACTGAACCCATTATTTCGCTCACTGGTGTAGACTATTCTAGTAAGTGTAAGATGTAAGTGATTATTAGCTTTTATCTGACCTTCTTTTTTATTATTATTTATCACTTTTTTCTTTCACTCTTTCTTTCGCCTCGTTCTTTTTCTTTTTCTTTCTTTCTTTCTTTCGTCTCGCTCTTTTTCTTTCTTTCTTTTTTCTTAATATCTTACTTTTTTCTTTCGACTCGCTCATTCTCTTTCTTTCTTTCTTTTATGTCTCTCTAAAACAAAACTATAAAAATTGCGTTTAAATTATAAGAATCTTCTACCATCTCTCTTTCAGTTCGTGAAACTCTTTTCCCTCTCTTTCCTCTTCTGAACGTATATATCTATCGATCAATCGATCCATGTCTATATTACTGAGATGAGGTATTATAATTATTTACAATATTTACATTATTCGGACTGTTGTCCTCATCTTTATTGTCATATTCACGACGCTTCAGCCGTTGTACGACTCGGCATTCTTCAGCACCTGTCTATATTTCTAAGATGAGGTATTTTAACTATTTACACTATTTACATTGGTCGAACTGTTGTTCTCATCTTTATAGTCATAATAGCGACGTTTCGACCGTTGTGCAGCCAGGTCTTCTTCAGCTTCTGTCTATATTTCTGAGAAGAGATATTGTAAATATTTACACTATTTACATTGGTCGAACAGTTGTTCTCATCTTTATTGTCATATTCGCGACGTTTCGACCCTTGTACGCCCAGACCTTCTTCAGCATCTGTCTACATTTCTGAGAAGAGGTATTGTAACTATTTACACTATTTACATTTGTCGAACTGTTGTTCCCATCTTTATTGTCATATTCGCGACGCTACTAAAGGAAAATACTAAAGAGAAACAACTGAAACTGCAATATCCATAAAAGGCGTGGCACGTGGAACTAGAACAATAAACACCTCCCACACCTGGAGTAAATAGAGGGCTCGGGTCAAAATTCTAACGTATGTCACCTGAAGAAGACTGATGCGGCCGAAACGTCGTGAATATGACAATGAAGATTAGGAAAACAGTCCGAACAGTGTGTAAATATCTACGTATTTATCAGTTTCTATTCTTATCTATGGAAGATATATAGCTACATACCTTCTGCATTCGCTGTTCTTAAATTCTTACTCTTCTTCAATTCTCCCTCTTTCCCTTTCCTTCTCTGTCGCTATCCATCGTCCTTCTTTTTTTTCCTTCTCTCTTTCTTTGTACATTTTTTCCTTTCTTTCTTTTTTTATGTCTTTCTGGTTCTTTGCATTTCTTTTTCTTTTTTTTTTGTACTGTTTTTCTTTTTGTTATGTTTTCTATAATTTGTCTCACTCATTCTCCCCTCCACACACTCTCACTTATTTCTCTCTCTCTCGCTCCCCCCCTCTCTCTCTCTCTCTCTCTCTCTTTGCCTCCATCTTACTCAGTTTCATTTTCTCTGCTTGCTTAACTTCCCTTCTCTGTCCATCTCTCTTTCCATTCTTTCATCCGTGTTCATTGTTTTCCCCCTCTTTTTGATTCTTCTCTCTCTCCTTCTTTCTTTGTTTCCTTCTCTCTCTGTTCCATATTAGCTCCCTCTTCTTCGCTCTTTCCTCTTTACCTTGTAAATCCATATCAAGCCAATTGTATATATTAAAAGTATCGCTAGTTATAAGCTTACCTAATTATGAATCCAGTTGTCGACGTTATATGTGATGTAGAGAAGATTTTATTACATACACCAGGAATCGGCAAACCTTTTGGGAATGGCTCGGATCGGCAGTTATTTTAACATGGGAACTAAAAGAAATTCACAGTCAAAGAGCTTTTCAATAAATACACTCCTTGTTACATGATAACAGCAAAAATTACAATATGAGCACTGGTAATAAACAGTTTTACGCTCCGGCCTTCTTCAGGTAATATACGTTGGAATTTCGAACCGATCCCTTTATTTGTCGACTAGGGCAGATTATTCTGGTTCCATGCGCCGTACGTTTTTCTGGATATCTCATTTCTCGTTAGTAACACACCAAGATTTTTGTTCACCTCTACCGTGGCCAGGTATTGAACTTACAACATACAACCAACGCCTTTATCTATAACGGCCGAAACGTTACGAATATGGCAATAAAGATGAGGACAATAGTCCGAACAATATATATAGTTACAATACTTCATCTCATAAACACTAATACAATACTTTTTTAGCGGAAGTGTTAATGATGTCGTTCTCGACCGATCACGCAGGTTAAGCAATGTCGACCTTGGTCAGTACCTAGACGTAATTAAATCGGAAGGATGTTTTTTTACAATTGTTATATTTATTAACGGTATAATTTCGGTTGCATTTTGAAAATTTCAAGTAAATTTTTTCTTTAAAAAGTAATTTGTCAAATCCACGATTTTTTTTTTGTTATAAGTGATTTTCAGTGAATATATATATATATATATATATATATATAAGTGATAGAAATTAGGAGGATTTGAGATAATTATTAAGTAATTCCTTGAGTCTAGAACAAACCTCAACAGAATGCAGAAAGCACTGGACAGCCATTTCGTCCCATATTTGGGACTCATCAGCAGTGCGCACCCACTACCGAGAATTGAAACCCGGACAGTTACGTCATCAGGTTTTCAGGCAAACGCCATACCAACTGACGAAGAGGTAACGAATCAGATACTTACTTAATTATAATAATTATATATATATAATCACACACACACACATATATATATCACGAACAAATGTTTACGGTTATTTTCGCGGTTATAATTTTGGGAGTCGTGGAGGTGCTTTTTGAAACTGAGGGTACAAAAAATTCGTGAGATGCTTTCAGGGTAAAAATGTGGAATTTTAACGATGGAAGGACTCAAGAGGATAATCTTATTTCTTTCTCTCTCTTCTCTCTCTATTCTCTCTTTCTCTCTCTCTCTCAAAACACATATATATATATATATATGTGTGTGTGTGTGTGTGTGTGTGTGTGTGTGTGTCTTGTTTCTTCAACTCCTTCTGAGTGAGGTTTAGAACGTTTTGAGAGAAAGAGAGAGAAGAGAGAGAGAAATAAGATTATCTTCTTGAGTCCTTCCATCGTTAAAATTCCACATTTTTACCCAGAAAGCATCTCACGAATTTTTTGTACCCTCAGTTTCAAAAAGCACCTCCACCACTCCCCAACTTATAACCGCGAAAATAACCGTAACCCTTTGTTCGTGAACATAAATGACCCCTTTTCATAACCCGTCTCATACCCTGGGAAAATTCTCTACTCCTCTCGTATACGGTCAGCCGTCACGCATGGAGTGAGTTTTTCTTCCTAAACGTTTTATTATGAAAGTATTTACTTTTTAGGTAATAGCTAGAGTTGCTATTAAAGTTGCCTACAAGTATTTGTTCGTGTAGAACAATCAGATAGATAGATAGATAGATAGATAGATAGATAGATAGATAGATAGATAGATATGAACAGACTTAGATAGATATAATTAGACTAAGATATATGATTAGACTGGGATATATATATATATATATATATATATATATAGATAATGAACAGACTGAGATAGATAGTTAGATAGAAGTTAGATAGATAGATATAAACACTAAGATAGATATGATTAGACTAAGATAGATATGACTAGACTGTGATAGATAGATAGATAGATAGATAGATAGATAGATAGATATGAACAGACTAAGATAGATATAATTAGACTAAGATAGATATGATTAGACTAAGATAGATATGATTAGACTGGTATAGATAGATAGATAGATAGATAGATAGATAGATAGATAGATAGATAATGAACAGACTGAGATAGATAGATAGATAGATAGAAGTTAGATAGATAGATAGATATGAACACTAAGATAGATATGATTAGACTAAGATAGATATGACTAGACTGTGATTGATAGATAGATAGATAGATAGATAGATAGATAGATAGATGATAGATAGATAGATAGATAGATATAATTAGACTAAGATAGATATGATTAGACTATATATATATATATATATATATATATATATATATATATATATATATATATATATATATATATATATGTGTGTGTATATAAATAGATAGATAAATGGATAGATAATGAACAGACTGAGATCGATAGATAGATAGATAGATAGATAGATAGATAGATAGAATGATATGGACAGACTGAGATAGATATGCACACTGAGACAGATATGATTAGACAAATATAGATATGATTGGACTTAGATATGACTAGGCTGAGATAGATAGATAGATAGTTTTTTTTGCTAAAATTTTCCTCATAAGGAAACGGCTAATATCAACATTACTTTAGAGATGTAGAGAACAGATACGACACTTTTATCCCAGGCCGATAATTAGAAAATAAAGAGGCTCGTGTAGAACTGACCGTTCAGTCGATGAAATGTTTCCCTATAAGGAAAAGTCTCATATTAACATCCATTACTGTTATATAGGAATAAAGTGCCGCTGCCGACACTTGAGTTTGAACATAGATCGCCAGTAAGCAAACACTGTCGATCCCATTAATTTAATTACGGAGACCACCTGACCATATAGGAGACACATATAAGTAGGAAGTAGCTGACGGCTAACAATCTTTATTTCTAGTCTGTCCTCTATTACTATTCGGATCACCATTTCTACTCTATCCTCTATTAATATACTGATCTTCATTTCTACTCTATCCTCTATTACTATACTGATCTCCATATCTAGTCTATCCTCTATTACTTTTCGGATCACCATTTCTAGTCTATCCTCTATTACTATACAGATATGCAATTATACTCTATCCTTTATTACTATACAGACCGCTATTTCCTACTCTATTCACTGTACTATTTCTCTATTCGCATCACTATACTGAGCGAGTGATATCGAGCAAGTACTATTAGTGCGAGTGCTATTCGAAGGCGTCCGACACCAGCATTGTTCAACGGCGTACTATAGTTGTATCTGCGATTACAAAGTCTCTACTATAACGAGCATTACGAAAGTGACAACAAATATCCGTTGACATCACAAAAGTGTCAACGGGTGTTCGTTGACATCGCAAAATGTCAACGAGTGTTCGTTGGCATCACAGAAATTACCAATATTACTCTTGGGCAGTGGCTTCTGTTTAAGTGAGAGGTAGAACATTAGAAAGAAATGAAGCAATGTCTGTGAATACTGATTCCATCATGGTTACTTGATTTCTCTCTTGACTCGTTCCTCGAAATAATCCCCACTCCTCATATTGCACGTCTATCTCTTGACGATTCTTTATTTTTATCTGCCGTGTTCCTTTGCTACTTCCCCCAGCCCATATTCTTAAGCCCGCTAGGTATGTCATTCAATGCTTTCTCTTGTCTCTTTTTCCATCTATCCGTCTTGTGAGTATCAGATTCTCTAAGCCCTCCTTTATTATTACGTGTGCCAGACATTTCAGCTGCCTTTTCTTGATGTTAAGTACAAGCTTCTTCCTTGTTTCCATCCTCTCCAAAACCTCATCGTTGTTAACATATTCGTCCCATGGTATCCAGAGAATCCTTCTGAAGAACCATACCTTCGTTGCCTTGAGTCTCTTCTTCATCTTTGAGGAGATCGTCCAACATTCGCTGCCGTAAAGAAGGACAGATGTCACGTAACAGCTCAGTACGCTTTTTCTTGTTACCAAAGAAATCCTCCTGTCTCGTAATACTCTGCCTAGTTTTGGCCATCCCAATGCGTCTTCGGATTCTCAGTGTCGCGCTTGTCGTCTTCTGTCAAAACACTTCCCAGTGAGAATTTGAATTTGACCATCAGAATGTGAAACCTGACAGAAGAGTTTCGATCATCGAAAAGCACAAGTTTCAAAAAGTATTCATGTGCTCTAGGAACCCTAGGCTTACGGCCACATCACGTTGAAGCATCGGCACCTACACAATAATAGAAGTTAAGCAACGTCGAACCTGGTCAATACCTAGATGGATGACCGCTTGGGAAAAGCAGGTGTTCTAAGCTTGGATGCGCGGCTGGTGTAATGGATAATGGCTCGAAATTGTTAATCGAAGAGTTCTTATTCCCGATGGATTCGTTATATTCCCTTACGTACAAATACCCTTGGGTAAGGAATGAATCCGCCTCTTCCCCTCCGGCTCCGGGTTAACTAGTAAGACTTGTATTACTAAACCATTATTATCTCCCCCACCTAAAAAATCCTAAAATGTAAAAATATTCTCTGGCTTTATATGATCTGCAAAGGTTGATAAGCCGTAAAAATATTATAACCAATCAAATGCTACAACATTAATTAAAAAAATTAAAATATACTTGATACACCTTAAAAAAAATGAGCGTCCTGGGTAACACGATAAACTACATCCAACAGCAAGTACTCTGGTCACAAAGTTTTGAGGAGCGTGCAACCCCCTCTTAATTGCTGGTGTTCCTAGGCCCATCCTGAACCGTGGTGGTAGCACCTGTTAGGGTCGCAAATATGGGCAAATAGTTAACCCCCAAACTCTGGTCAAAACACCATGAAAGTGTCAAAATATGTTTTAATAACAGTTATAATTTTTTTAGGAAAAAAATATTATCATCAGTACATGTCTGAAAAAAAATATTACCAGCAATACATTTTTGAAGAAAAAAAATTATCATCAACATATTTTTGAATAAAAAATAATATTACCAGCAATACATGTATGAAGAAAAAAATATTTACAGCAATACATTTTTGAATGAAAAAATATTACCAGAAATAATTTTTGTAAATAATTATTACCTGCAATACATTATACATTATACCAGCAATACATTTTTGAGGGAAAAAATATTATCAGCAATACATTTTTGAGGAAAAATATTATCAGCAATACATTTTTGAGGAAAAAAATATTATCAGCAATACATTTTTGAATGAAAAAATATATTACCTGCAATACATTTTTGTAAATAATTATTAGCAGTAATTATATAATTATTATATGTTATACCAACAATACATTTTTGAAGAGAAGAAATATTACCAGCAATACATATTTGTAAATATATTACCAGCAATAAAAATCTTGTCGGCATTAAATAACTCACTTAGGTTGATATACCGTAAAAAGAAAACAAACCAAACCAATCAATAAATTATTTATCAGAACTTATGGAACCTGAAACGTCTATTCGAAAAAAAAAAAAAAAAAAAAAACTGCACGCATCCAAAATGTTATCTTTCTGTTGTACTAATCACTTTACCTGATAAGTCGCATTGTTGAATTACTTCACAGGCTGAATAATGACGCTATGAATTCATATGAATAAAAAAAATTTGTAAACTTTCAGGGACTTGTTTTTGCCTCAAACTAATTATACACACTTGATTGAACATTAATAATGTCGAGTGACTTGACTTCGCTCCACAATGGCTGTTCCATACTTGTGGATTTAGGCTAACAAAAAGTAAATGATTGGATGACCATTACAACTGAATTGTAAGTTCGATTCTTATTACGACTCTTATCTCTGTATTTTTTTGCCTAACGTAAGTGAAACTTGATAGATAATAACCTACCACCGCCCCCCCGACACACAACAGGTAATATCTGTGTACGTCTTTGTGTGTATGAGTGTGTGAACCTGCTGAATTATAGTCCCCAACTCTGATTTTCCAGTTCACCTCAAGAGACTCTAATTGACCCAGAAGACCAAAAGCCGACCTTAGTCCAAAATGGGATCTGATTTAGTATCCCACAACTGTTTCTTAGTGTCAGTTTTACAACCGAGCAGTGACCATAAACAGTAATATAAAAAATGAACTGTCGAAGATTAAAAAGTTTCGGCTTCTTAAAGAAGTTAGATAGCATGGAAGGGGAGATAGAGATGAAAGAGAAAATGTTAGTAAATGCGTTGTGGATACACAGGCGAGAAGAAATAATTACAGAGAAAAATGGCAAAGGTGACGATAAAAGAATCTGGAATATATGATAGGATTTGCGAATAGAAATGGTATACTGACGAACAAAAAAGAAATGCTGAATGAATGAAAAATGAATTATAAAAGTTCATGAAAATTAAAAAGAAAGAAAAGAGAAAGAAAACGATGGAAGGAAAATTAAAAAAAAAAAAAAGACCGTAAAAAAATGTCTGACACGGAAAGAAAAACGAAAGGAAAGGAAACGATGTTTCTACAGTGTAACCCGGATATAAGAGAGTTGTCGGGACCGGAGAAGAAGTCTCTTATATCCGGGTTTGGTCTATTTTATATACATTAACACAGGCTCTAATTTGGGACCAGAAAAAATCTCTCTTATATCCGGGTTTCTCTTATATCCGAGTTACACTGTGCCAGCAAAAATGACGGTACCTAACTGGTATAAACGTTGAGGAGGCATGATTGAGCGGCTTGGATTGAGGAATCGGAGAGCCGAGTTCGAATTCAGTCGAATGCATTACATTCACTCACTTGCTGATGCACGTAGGAAATGTATGAATCCTCATCTTCTGTTCCCACCTGCAGCTGTGAGTAAATAGCAGGACAGACCAGGTTCTATAGGCTTAAACTGGTCTACTGCAGAAAGAAGTGGCAATCTACTGCGGGGAAAAAATCTGCATAGTCAGTCATGTATCGAAGGATACATGATTGCCTAAGCATGTATCACTCATAGTGCATACTTGAAGGTATAAATATGTATGAAAAAAAAAGTATGAAAAAATCTTTCTTTAAGCTTTTAATTAATTCCAAACTAATAGATTAAATTTAATATTCCCAATAAGCAAAACATTGTGTTGCATTTCAAACCAAATATAAATTGATTGGAATAATTGTTTTATTATTTGTAAAATCTAAAAAATTGTCGTTATTGACAAATCTGTGGACAAAACAATTCTTATTATTAAAATAATCTTTCTAATATAAAATAATATTTTTCTGAAATGTTATTTGAAAAAAAAAACTGATTCAATGTTAAATAATCTGAATTGAGACAAATATTATTCATACATAAATATCAACATTTTTTTACGGGGAGGTGGGTGATTTTTTGAGGTAGTGATGAATAATGTATTGATCACCTGATATTTCGGAAATTTATCTGTGGAGAAAAACTAGAAATATAACCTGCAAATTGAACCCCTTTTTAAATATATATATATATATTTTTAATTAACATATAATCTATAAAATTTAAAGTATTTTCAGCATTCTGTATATTTTTTAATTTACTTCGGCCATATAGTCGTACTTTCGAAGACACTTGTTGCGGAAATGTTAGAAAATTACCAATAAATTTTAAATTTACTAAAGTTATTTCTCTTATTTCCTGATAATGTCGTATATAGACGCTCGTATTTACAAAAATCGACACGTTTATATACACATAAATTTAGTTCGAAATTACTTTTTTAAATACTAGGGGTCGTTGATTTTGATCTTTTCCATTTATGATTAGCAAATACGGTTTTAATTTAATAACAATATCACTTTCTCGATAAAAATTAAGACAGAATTTGAAACGTTTATGAAACATTCTCATTAAAATTTAAAAAAATGGAAACAATATTCGTAAAAATTAATTATTCATCGAATCGGAGAAAATAGTGACCATAATATATTTTAACAATAAAAAGCAATAATCTCTTAATTTTATTGCATTTTTATTTTAAAATTAAGAGTAGATTTTCTCTAAGTGGGTGTTCTATTTAAGAAACAAATATTGAAATTCTCCATATAACTAATATAAACATTACACCCTTGCCCAAATTAATTGAAACACAACGAATAATTCCTTTATTATTATTTTTTCATATTTTTCTAATGAATCATGACCCAGTCCATATGTTAGTACTTCGTATGTCCATTCCACAAAGTCCTTCCTTGCAGATTAACCACAGATTCTCGACTGGATTTAAATCAGGAGAGTTTCCGGGCCATTCTACAGTACTTTTATATGCTTATTGATAAGGCTTGTCAGCGTGTTCCTGCAGAGTTACAATTTTCTTACGCTTCCTTGGATTAACGTCCATCGCAGACAACTCGTAGGACAACTCATCGACAGTTGAGACAATAGTGTCTGGACGTAATGAAAATCTGATGCAATCACGGATGATCAATATTTTTCAGGACTAAACAAATTTCATCATACGCCCCGAAAATAGATTCATATTACAGCACACCGCTACAAATGACTTAGGAAAAAATAGAAATCGATTACACCCTGTCACTGATGTGGGTCTAAACCGGACCGTATTGTGAAAAAATGAAAACTAAAGAGGTTGTTTCATTTAATTTGCGTAATGGTGTAAGTTTTACAAAAAAAGTAATTTTTTAAATTTCGTAAAAGTAAATGAGTGTAGAGTAAAAAGAAGAAATTTTTATAAAATTTCCTAAAAAAAAATTTTTTAACTCTAATTAAATTCACTTTTGAATAGGTTAAGCAAGTCTTACTAAAATCCTATAATTATCTGATTTTTACAAGCATTTAGAAATCGATATGTTTTTCAATGAAAAATAAAAGCTCAAATTTAGCATGGACATTTATGGTCTCACGTTGATGAGAGAAAAATATGATTCAACGAAAATTTTCACAGTTCTAAAAAGATTAAAAAATATCTGTCTATATCTCTGCGATGAATTGTTATGAATACTTGCATTATTTACATTATTGGGATTGTTACCATCATCTTCATTGCCATATTCACAACGTTTCGGCCGTTGTACGCTCCGTCCTTCTTCGGGCGATGGGAATTTCGAACCGAACCCTTTAATTGGTCCACCGGGGTAGGTTGTTCTAGTTCCACGTGTCATGTCTCTTCCGGATGTCTCAGTTATTTTCCTTTAACTCAATTCTCCAAGTTTCGGTTCACCACTGCTGTGGCGTGGTATTGAACTCTAAAGTCTTTGGGTCTAGTCACTGGATCTAACCAACGACTTTATCCATTGTGCCATGTGTCCTTGGGACATCCGGAAGAATAAAAAATAAAACAGCAAAAAAAAAAAAACAATTCACTACTATTGGAATCTTTTCAAATCAGTCCATGGGCTTCAATAACGACAGCGATTGTTGATGTTCTCATGTGCCACATTTTTTTCGATAGACTCAGTAAAGGTAGCCCATGTCTTGAAGAAATATAAACATTGTACTCACAAATATAGGTCACACATTACGAAGAGTCACGTCATGTGGTCTTTGATCGCGATGTCTGGGCAATTAGTTTTGAGTGTTTTCTGTATTTCAAAATCCCATAAAACTGTTTGAAATTTCGATTTCATTATTATTATTATTATTATTATTATTATTATTATTATTATTATTATTATTTTCTTTGATTTCTGGCGTTTACACATTTCTTTCCGGGTCCCGCCCAGGGACCTAAGGTTAGAAATGGCATCATGATACTTTCCACTGACAAAAAAAAAAAAATTACATAGATAAAGTCCTTCGTAAAGTGTGGGCTGTACTTGTCAGAACAATTTTTTGTATCTCCTTTAGGCATGGACTTCCAGGAATCCCTTCAATTTGTCTACTGCAATCTTTTCCAACCAGTCCTAGGGCTCCAACTACAACAAGGATTGTTGATATTCCCATATGCCACATTTTCGAGATTTCTATTTCAAAGTCCTTGTATTTTGACAGCTTTTTGAATATCTTCAAAGATACATTGCAGTCAACAGGGTCTTTAATAACAATTTATTATTATTATTATTATTATTATTATTATTATTATTATTATTATTATTATTTCCTTGGATTTATGCTGTAAACACATTTCGTTCTGGGTCCCAGCCAGTGACTTTCGGTCAGGAATCGTTTTATGGCATTTTCCAGCGATCATGTCTATGTAAAATAAAAACAAAAAATAAGACCACACACATAGTTAAAGCTCTTCGTAATGTGTGACCCTTTATTTGTGAGTATATGTTTTGTATTTTTTCTAAGGCATAGGACATCAGTAACCCCTTCAAGGAATCTATTGGAATATTTTCCAATCAATCCAAGCGATCCATCTACAACTGGAATTCTTGATGTTTTTATATGCCATATTTTTCAGATTTCGATTTTAAGGTCCTTGTATTTTGATAGCTTTTTTAACATTTTCAGAGACACATTACAATCTGCAAGGACTGTCTTGCCAATAAGAAAGCACATTCTGTTCTTGTGTTCTTTGATCACGACATCTGGGCAATTAGTTTATGATGTTCATACCAGTTTGTTGCAATTTCCTTCCCGTAAAAGTTGCATATTTTCCAGTCCAGATATTGCCCCACTTTATCACACCGTGTTTTATATTCATTTAAACACTAACACTGTGCAACCTGATATAAGATGGTCAATTGTTTCTGGATATTTATCACGAAATCTGTCATTGGGCTGACAATTTTTTCAGTATCCATGCTTGATAATTTCTAGTTAGCAAGCATTGTTCCTGTACAGTAAGAATAAAACAGTCGGTTTCAGCTTTTAACTCTTTACTGTAGCCACAGATTGGTACGGGGTTTGTCTACAGAGACCTGTTTATTATTATTATTATTAGGTTAAATTGCAAAAATACGCCACATACATCAAATAGATTGCCATTCATAGTGTCATTATAAATAAAAGGAAAAAAAAAGAGATGGAGAAATGAAAAAGAACAAACCATCACAATATAAAGTCAATTTAAAATCAATAAAAAAAGAAAGGATCTCAAGTATAAGAGCGAGTAAAAAGTGAAACAAAAAACACCTACCAACATTTTGACCATAAAAATCGGAATGGGACTATTTTGTATATAAAACCGAAACGAAAAACAAAGGCAATAAAAAGCAATAAAACTATTAGACAAATCCATAAGCAGAGAAAAGAACTTAAGATACAAAAGAAATTGGTGGCTGATTAAGACACCTGGTCTTGAGGGGAACTTGTTTTAGTGACAGACTTGATGCGAGACGAGCGAAAGCGGTCGGTTATATTTCGTGAAAGAAAATCGAAAAGGCAGGACATGGAAGAAAACTCGTCGGTATGAAGACCAAAGAAATGGAGAGGCGAGATGATTGAGAAAGATACACAACCACGGACACACAATAAGAAACGAATGAAGGGAAAACAGGAAAGACATATTGTAAAAAGGAGTAAAAAGGGAAAAGAAAAGAAAGAAAGAATGAAAAATAGCAAAGTAAAGGAGAAAATCTAGCGAAAAGAGAAGGTAAGAATAAAATATACAAAAAAGAATGAAATTCAGAGAAAAGAAGGAACAAATTAATAAGAAGAAATAGATAAGAAAGAAAATATTAATAAAAACAGTTGATAAAGAATGAAAGACATTTAGACATATCAAAATTAAAGACAGGAGAAAAAAGAATAGAAAAAAAGCAAAAAAGAATGCTGAAAGAATTATAAGAATGAATGAAAACAGAAAAGACAAAATGAATAAAAATGAAAGAAAAGAGATGAAGAAGAAATAATGAATAAATGAAAGAAAGCAAAAATAACAAGTAGAAAAGAAAGAACGAAAGAAACATGTTAAAAATATAGAATGATAAAAGAAAGAATTAAAAAAAAGAAGGCAAGAAGAAAAGAAGGAAAGAAGGGATGAAATAAAAAAAGGAAAGCAAACAGAAAAGAAAGAAAGAAAGAGCGATAGAAAGATATCGGGAAAGAAAGAAAGAACGAAAGAAAGATATCAGAAAAGCAAGAAGAAAAAAAAAACAAACGAAAGAAAAAAAAAACGAGTCGTTATAAAATTATTTGTAACGTAATTTAAGTAAAATTTGTAGAAAATATTTTTATATTTTTACGGAGATTTATTCAGCTAGAGATGTCACATTTCGTTCCACGAATTCTTTCTATCTTTGAGGCAGCATCATGATTCCACCCTCCCAGGACTTGGTATTTTTCTGGGTAATAAAGTGGTTCCTGCAAATACTGGAGACATTACGCATAAAATATTATCAAAGTTAGGAATAAACATACTTAATATATTTCATTATGATATAAAAGAAACCCGATAAGACAATCATCATCACTGGAATGCGAACGATCCTTTCTTTAGTTGTATAGTATGTGTTATACCAGAGTTACTTTCTCCTAGATCGGATGCCATAGAAATATAGAATGCCTATAAAAACCAGTCTGGCCTGCTATTTAACCACAGATAAGACAAACTCTCAGACGAAGGCGATATTTCAAAACATTGAAGCTGCCACAAAGCAAATTCTATTTCATATTGGCTTATGAAAGCCGAAAGACCGAAGGAACGGACAATTTATGTTTAAATATGTACCGGATATCAGAAAAAAAATGCTCAAAACAGAAAAAATAAATAAACATATGCTTAGCTTAACAAATAAATTTCTATTGTCTTTAACCAAATTTTACACACAAAAACACACACACATATTTATATATTTAGACATATTTTATTAAATATAACAGACAATGAATGTCTGATCATGAGCCGTTCAAATGTTTGCTTTAATTTCGGGTGAAAATAAAGACAAAAATTGTCCAACATTTGGATAATTTTTTTATTAAGTTGGTCCTAAACTTTCGACTTACATGATCCATCCTCAGAGGGGTTATCCGGATATGAAACAAAGATATCCACCGTCAAAGATGATATTTTCTTATGTGACGATGAAAAGAATATAATTGTAAAATATATTTCTTAGTCATTTCGCATTTAAACTTGGTTTGATAAAATCGCATTGACGGAACGCGTCGGCAATGACTAAGAAATATATTTTCCAATTGTTTTCTTTTTATGCAAATTGTCTTATCTCCGAAATTATTGTGAGAAATTTAACATATCTATCTATCTATCTATCTATCTATCTATCTATCTATCTATCTATCCCTCTCTCTCTCTCTCTATATATATATATATATATATATATATATATAATTATTATTTAAAAAATTATAACATAAATATGTCATAAAATCACTACAAAAATAGCCATTTTGTTTCAACACCCTCTGTGTCTTATCAAGTGATGATGTTGAAAATAAAATAAATGGTTTTAAAAGTTAAAAGAATAACCAATCAAAAACCAAGTATAGAAAGATTCAAAAGCTTGACAACGAAATGATGTTATAATAGCTATTCAGATCTTTAAAATACGGGTAATATTAAAAATAATTTATACTAACCAATAATTATAAAATTATATGATAAAATTTAATATTAAAATTAAAAACTGGCATTTTTAAAATCCAAATTTGGTTATTCTAGCTTTTGTAACAATGTTTCCCCCTAGTGTAGGATCGTTAATTAATTTGAAACTTTAAAACAATTTATTTTATCTTCAGCATCATTACTTGATAAGAGACCGAGGGTGTTGAAACAAAATGGCTATTTTTGTAGTGATTTTATATTATTTATATTTTAATTTATGTGTGTGTGTGTTTATATATATATATATATATATATATATATATATATATATATATATATATAAACACGCACACATACATAGATAGATAGATAGATAGATAGATAGATAGATAGATCCACCGGGTAGATTGTTTTAGTTCTACGTGCCATGCCACTTCCGGATATCTGAGTTATTTCCCTTTATCTCAGCTCTCCAAGTTCTGGGTTCACCACTCCTGTGACCTGGTATTGAACTCACCACTCTTTGTGTCTAGTCACTGGATCTAACCAACTTCTTTATCCACTGGGCCATGTGTTCTTGAGACATCCAGAAGAGGAATGGCACGTGGAATTCCGGTGGACTAAATATAGGGTTCGGTACGAAATTCTATTCAACTGAAGCAGGCTGGATCGTACAAAAGGCGAAACGTTGTCAAAATGGCAATGACGATGAGGATAACAGTTCGAATATTGTAAATAATGCAAGTAATTTATCCATTTATTTGTATTATTTCCATAGTGGCAATGGTCCCCATTTTTAACAATTGAACCGATATATTAATCCATTGGGATTTTGCCCGATGGCACAGTTACGAGTCGAGAACGTGGACAGCTGTGAATCTAACCTGTTTTCTGATAAGGACTGCAGATACTGTTGTTACTTGTCACGGTTGACTGCACATACAGTGTTTCATTTTTTTTTTTTACTGCAGCTGATGTGCTGCTGCTACCTTTGAAGCTTTGCTTTCACTTCTTTTTTATTTACTAATATATCCTATGTTCTATTGATTTATGCGATCTGCCTATTAAGGAAGTCCTTCTAGCCTAGCCTGATGCATTCAGTCGTTTCACTCTCCAGTGTCCCTCTCTGTTCAATATTTTTACTTCATTCTTCAGGTGGTAGTGACTAAAATAGAGACAGTAAAATTCCTAGAAGACTACCCAGATGAAGGCCGGAGCACACAAAGACCGAGACATTGTGATAACACCAAAAAAAGTTGGGGATATGTTCGCATGTAAATAATGTTTTTATATTGACTGACATTTTACGGCTTATATCTAAATCCGAAATATATTTTGGATTATAAGAATAATTTTGATAACATAATGATTTATAGTACAAGTCCTACTCTTTAACCCATGGTTTGGAGGAGAAAAGGATTCATAACCTTTCCCAAGAATATTCGTACGTAAGGGAATATAACGAATCCAACTGGAATTCGAACTCCGTTCCACGTTATTCTTACATCAGCTCATCCAAGCTTACAGAACGTGGTATTCCTAAGCGGTTGTAAATGTTGATATCTCCTCATTGCAGCAATTCAAAGACAGATTGCCAGTTTCTTTTATACTTTAAATATGTGGCCTTGTGTCAAAACTAAGCTAAGCTTTTTAACTGACAACTAATCATTTGAAAGAACTGTCTAAACATCCGATAAGTATTATAAAACTTATATCTCATGTTTATATATTTGCTTTTATACTTAAAAAATTCAATCGTTTATACAAATACATTCCCAGTCTCTTTTCCGGTGATAAACATTTAATTCTCCCAGGTTATCTTACCATATGTGTATATCCTCGTGTCTTATCTACCCAGGTAAAAACTATCTGATTGTGTCTGACCGGGGTTAAATTGCGGTAAACCCAACTAATAAATAAATGAATGAAAAAAAAAAAACAAATCATTTATTCTGAATTATTCGTTTGAAGGTGTTTAAGAAGAGTGAAAGTTTATTGTCAGAAACTGTGTCAGGTATTTTAAATCTTATCTTTCGCAGATATACACTTCTGACAACTTCTTTCCGACCATTTCTGTCATATATACCTCTACATAGTTCTTTCCTGACTCACGTATCATCTGTTAGTTATACGACGAAGGCCATTTTTAATTTCCCGATTTTGTTTCCATTTAATTTGGACCCTGTTGAAACTTGACTAATGCATGTAATAATAATGCAACACAAAATGTACTTAGAACAAAATGTATTGAAACAAGAAAGTGTACACAATATTTACATATAGTCTTTTTTTGTATATATTTTTTATATAAATTCGTTTTTTACAACATGGAAGATTGCAGGCTTATCCGGAAATACAGGAATTTTAAAATAATCACGAACTTTTAGGAATACGTTATGGAAGCGTCGCCCATGTGACTACGGCGTGACCACGTTAAACGGAAAGCTGATCTTTTTAAAAATTTTCAGTTATCTGTTTTACTCTTGGATAAGACTTGTGTTTTTATGTCCATCGTTTTCGTCATATTGAACTGAATTTGTATTTTAATGAATTTTGTCTTGAAAATGGTTTATTAAAACCGAAACGTCTGACGTCGACAATTCTTTCATTTTAACTACATTTATGGATTTTTGTTTGTTTTTCAAAATTTCTACATATAGTCTTTTGTATATTCCTGATAAGACCGTTCCTTGAGAATGTGTTGACTTAGTCGCAGTCGGGCAGAGTCTCTGGTTGAATCTCTTGATGCCTGTATTTATCTATCCACCCACGAGGATAAAATGTGGCACAAGGCCGGTTTAAAGTGGGTATCTCCGAGCCAGTAGGCTCGGCCAAAAATATGGCCTTTCTGAACCCGCCTAGACGGGTTCAAGGCCTGTCTACCACCCCGGACGAAACCCTGCCTCTCGGCAAAACCTCATCCGGGTCACTCACTGCAAAATGCAGAGAGTTCGACTGAGAGTGAATCTCTTGATTCCTCCCTCTCATCCTGGTACCAACCATATTTATATGGTCGGTACTCCACTATGCAAATTAGGTGGATCCTACCACAACTGACCCCATAGTATGCAAGCTGATGCCAAACATTCTGCTTACTTTTCCTTCAATGTCCAGTAAACTACCGACCATTGTTACTCCCGCTCATGAACAGAGATAAATTTGCTACACTCTAAACACCGTAAGCTTCTCGCCGCTATCGGTATTTCCATGGAAATGGTTCAGAAGAACTGCATACCTTAGTTCCACTAGTTCTGAAGCCTGATATGCCACACACATTATCGCAAACCGCTCTCATTTCCTTTGTGTTTCATTAGTGAGATGTAAATTCCAATTGAATGGCTTCTTCCCACGAAGTGATCCTTTGTGGAACCGATGTTTGCCCGTTGACTGCAATCATAATTTTTTTTTAACTCTAGGCGCAACTGTTATCTTCCCCACGTATTCCCATAAACACTGCCTCTTACTCTGTAACCCTCTACCTCGAGTGGCTCTTGGGGCTTGTACAGGATGAAAATCAATGAAAAAAAAACTATTATGGAACATGTCCAATAGATTAACGTCAGGCAACTGACAATGAAATATTAGGTAATGAAAGGAAGATTTACTACAATTAATCGTAATTCAACATAACCAAACATGTATATATTAACACCGCCAATCAGTTAAGCTCAGAAGAGATTGGTGGAGTATTAGGTCGTTATTATTATTTTAGTTCCTTTTATTTCTGGTGTATACTCATATCTTTCCGGGTCCCGACTAGAGACCTAAGGTCAGAAATGGCATCATGACATTTTCCACTGAGCAGTTTAAAACACACACACACACACACACACACACACACACATATTTTACATAGTTAAATCCCTTCTTAAGGTGTGGGCTGTACTTTGAGAATTTAAAAAAAAAATTTTTAAGGCATGGGATACCAAGAATTCCTTCAATGCGTCTATTGTATTCTTTCCAAGCAATCCGAGTGCTCTAACTACAACTGGAACAACTGATATCCTCATGTGCCTCATTTCTTGGAGATTTCGATTTCACGGTTCTTGTATTTTGAGTTTTTGAAGATTTTCAAACACACATTACAGGCAACTGTCATATCAATAAGGAGGCTATATTTTGTTCTTGCCGTCTCTGATCACAATGTCTGGGCGTTTGGCCTTGACTGTTCTGTATTGTGAAATCGTATAAAAATCTTACAAGTTCTATTACCTTAATTGGGTTTGGGTGGTGTTCAAACCAATTTCTTGCAGTTTCCTTTCCATAAAGGTTGCAGATTTTCCAATGCAGATATTGACCCACACCTTTATGTCGAATTTTATATTCAGTGGGTTCCAATTCCATGCATCCTGATAGAAGATTATCAATCGTTTCAGGATATTTATCAAAGAATCTGCATTTTCCGCTAACACAATTTTTCAGTATGTGTCCTTGGGAATTACTAGTTAGCAAGAATTGGTCCTCTACAATTTATTATTATTATTATTTACCAAATTCTCCGCTTATGTGTGTCATTGTCTCATCTTTATTTCCATGTAGTCCACATATAGTCTTCTGTTTTATCTATCTTAGTTTTTATAAAGTTGGTTCATATGACGTTGTTTTGATGCCACTATTAAAGGCAACTCAGTTTCCCCTCTTGACATTTTCTTTACGTGGCCACGTCAATTTTTCCGCCATTCCCCCAAGAATCCACAGAATTGATTTTTGTTTCTAATTTTGGAGTTCCCGTTCGTGTGTTTCCTGGTTTTCTCTTGATTCCTTAGTTTGTTTTTTATACAGTCTTTGGGTCTTTGGCAGTTGTAAGCAGTCTTCTGTTTTATTCTGTCTTGTGTATTCTTCGAGTCCCTTGACTGCAGAGTCAACGCAATCCACAATGCTATTTAGTTCGCTTCATCTTTCATTCTTTCTTTCTTTCTTTCTTTCTTTCTTTCTTTCTTTCTCTCTCTCTCTCTCTCTCTCTCTTTCTTTTATTTCTTAACTGCCTGTCGGCATCATCTCTTGGGTGTACCCTCGGATGCTTTCTTAGCAGTTTTCTTGTTTTATGATCCACCTTTTCTAGTTCTTTTTCGTTTACAAACTTTTCGGAGTACTTTGCAATGGAAACTCTCCAGATATCTGTGACTTTATTATTATTATTATTATTATTATTATTGTTGTTGTTGTTGTTGTTGCTGTTGCTGTTGTTGTTGCAAAAGCACTTATGGATTTTACTTTACTGGGCAAAAGTAATCTTAATATAATTTCTTTTTTTTTTTCTTTTTTTTCTTCTTTTTTCTTTATTTTCTGGTTCTTCTTTATTTCTCTCCCTTGTTAATCTTATTTATTCCCACATTTTGCTTCTTCCTTTCTTTCTATTCGTTTCTTTTATTCCTCCTTTCCTTTTTTACTTACCCAGGTTTATTTTATTTTTTTCAAGTTTTACTACCTTAGTAATTTTTAGTGTTAAATTGTATCTCTTTTCTTATCATTCTGTCTGTCCGTCTTTCTTTCCTTTTTTCTTTCTCGTTTATATTTTCATTCCTTTTTTTTTCTTTCATTTGCTCAAATAGCTTGCCTCCTCTATTTTCTACATAACTCATAGATTCTTTCATTTTTTTTTCTTTCTTGCATTCATTTGTTTCTTTTTCTTTGCTTTGCATCTGTTCTTTTGGTAACATTTTCCTCCATTTTCTTTTTTTCCTCCATTTTCTTTTTTTCCTCCATTTTCTTTTTTTCCTTCGTTTTCTTTTTTTCCTCCATTTTCTTTTTTTCCTCCATTTTCTTTTTTTCCTCCATTTTCTTTTTTTCCTCCATTTTCTTTTTTTTCTCCATTTTCTTTTTTTTTCGTTTTTTTTTTTCCTTTTTTTTTTTTCCATTTTTTTTTTTTCCTCCATTTTCTTTTTTTTTTTCCTCCATTTTCTTTTTTTTTTCTCCATTTTCTTTTTTTCCTCCATTTTCTTTTTTTCCTCCATTTTCTTTTTTTCCTTCGTTTTCTTTGTTCTTTCCGTTTTTTTTTTTTTTCTCTACCTTTCATTTGTTTTCCGGTTTTTTCTTTCTTTTATTTTTCTCTTCATTTCTTTACATTTTCTTTTGCTTCCATTGCTTTTTATTTTTTTAAATTTTAATTTCTTTCTTACTTTTTTTTTACGTTTGCTTTTTTCGCTTGTTTTTTTTTTTTGTTTTACATTTTTTGCTTTCTTTGATTCCTACTACAACATTTTTCTTTTTTTTTTCTTATTAATATCATATCTTCTTATTTTCTTGCTTTATTTTCATCTTTATTTTCTTTCTTAATTTCGAGCCCACTTTATATTTTCTTTCTTTTTCTCTTCTCGTCTTTCCACTCATTTTACTCTTTCTTCTTCATGCGCATGTATTCTTTTTCTTTTCTTTTTTTTTCTCTCACGTGAATTGAAATACGGGGTGGGATGATTATGATTACATTGCAAATGGGCCCTAGTGAACGGGGAGGGGATCTATTTCTTCACTCGCTCGAGGTGTGTCGCCTGTCCAGCAGGACTCATTCATAAAACGACATATTCATACGCGCCTCTTTCTCCACTCGTACCACTTTACGAGTGTCTTTTCTTGTATTCATTTCATTGTTTCTCCTTCAATACGAAGATAAATCTCTTTATTTGCTTTAGCGGACGTTACTCTAGGTAGGAAAAATATGCAGACTATGAGAAACTAAAATATTAAGAAAAGGTGAATAAATGTTTCGGTTGACCCAGAGATATTGGATAGAAGAGGAAGAAAAGAAGAAAAATAACAGAAAGACAAGAACAAAGGAAGAATACAAAGAGAGAAGGTGTGAATTTCCGTAAAGAGAGAAAAGGCTGAGGAGATTATGAGTAAGAAATTCAAAAAGAAAGAGTAAGAGAATTAACGCATAAAGATGAAGAAAGAGATAGATAGATAGATAGATAGATAGATAGATAGATAGATAGATAGATAGATAGATAGAATAGGAGAACAAAAAGAATGATAGTAAAATTGCGTGTCAAAAGATGATACAGAAAAGGAAGTGGATTATAAATAAAAAAGAAAGAAATATGGCAGCTAAAAAATGAAGAAAAAATGGTATGAAAGAGGAGGATGGAGAATCGATAAAATTAAAGACGTAGGTTGAAGGAGAATGAAAAAAAAAAAACAAAGACAGAGGGATAAAAAATAAGAAAGGAAGAAGATGAATATAAAAATGAGGAAGAGTTAGAAAACAAAAAAAATGGATGAACGTGGGAAGAGGGCGGACAATGAGAAAGAAAGGTAAAGAAAAAAAATAGGAATAAGTGGAGAACAAAAAAAAATGGATAGAGAAAGAAAAGACATGAAAAGTAATCAGAGTATGAAAAAACATAAGCGAAGAATGAAGGGAAAATAGAAAAAAAAAGGAAATATTTTAGGATGAAGAATAAAGGCGAACGATTTAGGAAAATAAGAAAACAAAGGATATGAATGATTGGAAGGCGAAGGAGGAAGGAAGGGAAATGCAAAAGCAAGATTCAGAAAGGAGGGCGAAGAATAACAACAATAAATGATAGGACAACATTTAATAAAGGAGGCTAGTGAAAGATAAAAGAAGGAAAAGAGAATGAAAGATGTGAATGAAGAAAAACATAAAAAAGTAGTGAATGAAGACTAAGAAAGATGGAGTAACTAATATACTGATTTTATTTACAGACCAAATTATAACGGTTATAATAGCCATTTTCTTATATATATATATATATCTATAAAAGTCAGGATCTGTGTGTGTGTGTGTGTGTGTGTGTGTGTGTAACGAATGCAGGGCCGCAATTTTCCAAGGATTTGCACCAAAATTTACATGCACATGCTCCAAGTTAGCGAGAAGGCCAAGACCAACTTTGCATTTCCCAACTCCCATCGATAGTGGAAAAAATCGATTTTTTCATGTTTCTACGGCAGTTTTCATATAGTTTGCGTCCATTTTCGACTGGCCTGTGTGAGAGCCAATAGCTGGCTGCCACGAATAGGCAGGAAGATTCTATTGGCCAGCGTGAGAGCCAACAGCTGACTGATACGACTGTTAACTAGCATGCTAGCATACAAAAAAAATCGATAGCTGCATTCGTCACAAGTGGGAAAAATTTAAATCTGCATGGCACTTTACTCCAATTGGCTCATTCGCTTGCTTAAACTCAACGTTGATTCTGATTCCGCAGAACTGGGTTGGGTGTGAAAAAGTATTTGTTAACATTCTTTTTTTTCATTCGGTTTTTCCAGTTATGAGTCCTTTTTTAAAGCTGATCGTTTTGTGTTCATTTTGTTTAGTTCTTTTTTCGTAACAGATTTAATGTTTAGTATAGAGCTTAGAAAAAATTCGCGGTGTGTGAGATAGGCAAGAAGTAAGGCATGTAGCAACATCAGCACGGCAAAGGGCATAAAAAAAAAAAAAAGGCAAGGAAGGGCAAAAATATTTTAAGCCAAGTGATATCGATTGCTGTATGAGTCGTACGATTTTTGAATCAAGCACGGACAACGCCGGGCCATACTTCTAATATATATATATATATAACATTGGATACTCTTTGACAGAACAGCCAGTGTTACTCGTGTTACAGTTTGTTTTTTTCCATTCCCTGGCTATCGATCAAGGCTCAATGTGTAGTATCTGTTCTCATATCTACTGGTACTTATATTACGCGCCCTTTCCTTATTAAAGAAAACTTGAAATTGACCCCGGAAACGGTTTTCTTTTGGCTGGCATATATAACATCATTTCTTAAGCCGTAGTATTTGTCGTTCAGTCACTAATGTCCACCGAGCTAAAAATTGAACGGTGTGTTTTAATCGATCATTGTAAGAAATCTATAATTAATATCAGATATCGTAGACGCATTCAATTAATACCAGATTTTTATTTTAATTCTTATAATAAATTAAGTGCTTCCTCTATTATCCGAACACCATGGAGCAGATGTCGAAAAAATATATTCGGATAATTAAACATTCCGAATAATAAATAATGAAAATTAAAAAAAAAGAAGAAAATTATCGAAAAAAACATGACACGAAAAGGGATATATATATATATATATATATATATATATATATATATATATATATATATATATGGAACTAATGTTTTTACTTTAATTAACAAAATTAAATTTGAAGCTTTTAGCTTCCATTTTTGAAACATGGTTATTACTGTGTAACGAAAAAAACATATTTTAAATACGCTAATTTATAATATTAATGCTCTGTAAATTTACATTGAGCACTATTTTGTAAAAATAAAAAATATCAATAAGAACACCGGATTATATCTCTTACTGTTCTTTCTTTATATATATATATATATATATATATATATATATATATATATATATATATATATATTATATATATATATTAATTGATTTAAAATATGTTTTTTTTTTCGCTTGAGGATGAAATGGAACTAATGTCTTTAATTTAATTGCAAAATTAAATTCGTGGCTTTTAGCTTCCATTTTTGAAACATGGTTGGAACTGTGTAGCGAAAAAAACATATTTTAAATCAATTAATTTATAATATTAATGCTCTGTAAATTTACATTGAGCACTATTTTGTAAAAATAAAAATATCTATAAGAACACCGGATTATATATCTTACTGTTCTTTTTTTTTATATATATATATATATATATATATATATATATATATATATGTAGTTTTTAACTTCTCAAGATGCTTGTCTCATAAGAAATATTAGAATGCCTTTAACTCGGATAAAAAACAAAAACACAATGGAACATCCGGAAAATCGATGGAATAGAGAGCAAATGTATGTGGCATGTCGATTCTAGCCATGAAAAATCAGAATTGGTGGAACTAATGACTATAATTTATCCGAGCACTTTTCGTGGAAACAGCGATAGAACAGAGAAAAACTCGCTACATCCCGCCTGTTGATTAGTGTAAAATAATTCTTGTCCCACAAGGACTCGAAGACTGGAAAGTGAGGTCCCGGCAGCTCTCTCCCAAATATGCCAAAGATAGAGGATAGCACGAAGACTCGGATAATATATCTGATATATTATAATATTCTATTATGATAGGTTTTAAAGGCACACACATAAACTAATAAACTGGTTTGAATATTGAAGTAGAAGTTAAGAGGAAGACAACGGTTAACTCTAGATTTGAAGAGGTTAAGATTATAGTGACCGGGGAAACATCCTCTTGGCAGTCTGTTCCCCAAGACTCTGGTTAGCGGGACGAAGCTGTCCGAGAGAAACTTACATTTGAACAATAAAATACGGAGGGAATGTGTGTGCTTTGCTACAATAGAAGAAGCATGGCGGGTCCTAGACGTGAAAGTTTGAACTGGTGGAACCAAGGTCTATAGTTCATCCGAGCACTTTCCATGGAAACAACGATAAAATAGAGAGAAACTCGCCACATCCCGCCTGTGTGTGTGTGTGTGTGTGTGTGTGTGAGAGAGAGAGAGAGAGAGAGGGGGGGGATGTTGAAGGGTGTAAAATAATACTTCATTGACAAGAACTCGGAGACGGTTTTGAACTCTATCAAGTTGGTTGTTGATCTAAGCTTTCTCCTCACAAATAAGTTTGAATAATGATCTGCTGGCCCAATATATATATATATATATATATATATATATATATATATATATATATATATATATATATTTAGTTAGTTAGTTTATGCAAAACTAGGTAATCCGCATGGGTAGACCCAAGGAGGATGATATCCGGAGAGCTCAATGTAAAATTCAGAGCCGATATGTTTGAATAAAAACAGACCACTTTAAGGTTCCATATATATATATATATATATATATATATATATATATATATATATATATATATATATATATATATATATGTTGAAAAGAAGAGAGAAACCGCAAAAGTTTTTTGGTTGTAATGTGGATATTTTAAAAAATATTATGCTTAATTTCCATAATTTTCTACACGGTCTCGTGATCTCGTGTTTCCGGTCTCGTGATCGTCATCAGGCAAAGCGCGGGGAGTTCCACATATTAAAATGTTTTTCTTGTTTTTCGATGTTGAATATTCTCAATATGACAATTCTCTTTTTTTTTTTTTAAATGAAATTATATATTTATATATATATATAAATATATATATATATATATATATATATATATATATATATATAATTTCATTATGGTCACTAAATTTAATCTATTTCTAAGAAAAATACATAAAAATTTAGGCATATTTTTTCCGTTTTTCTATGAATAATTTTGTTAGTTTCTAAACTTGGTTGCATTTAGAGTTTCATATTCGTAACTTTTATTTTTTAATTACAACATACTGTAAATTAATTAGTTATCCTGATTTCCTATAAAATTTAATACATATTTTAAAGCATTAATAAATTGGATTTAGGCTCCGTCGACGCGTTATTTTGAATCATCATATACTAGTAATTTGATTGGTTCTACAGCTGATGTGCTCACGGCCATAATTGAATTTGTTTACCTAGTACCGTGGCTCTACATATCTCCAAAACGTTTGATAGGGTTTGGCATGCCGGCCTCCTATGCAAGCTTCAGGGATACGGTATTTCAGGATGATTATTTGTCTTAATACTGTCATTCCTGTAAAACCGTGTCGTGAAAGTCGTCCTTAAATGCTCCTCCAGTTCCATTCTCACGAACGTAGGTGTTCCCCAAGGCTGTCATATATGATCTGGAGCCCCGCTGTTCGACTTAGGGTCCTCGACAAAATCCAGAGGCGGATATGCAATGTGGTTGGCCCTGATCTGGCTTCTCGTTTACAGTAGCTCTCTCACAGACTTACCGTCGCCTCCCTCTGTCTTCTCTACAAATACTTTCACGGTAACTGCTCCGACGAGCTATTTTCGCTAGTTCCCATCTGAATGAATTTAAACGTGTTACTAGTTCGGCATCTCAGTCCCACTCTTTCACTGTTGAAACTGATAAATGTAGCCGTCTCTTCTATTCCAATACCTTCATGTCTCGCACTTCCCGTTTGTGGAACTCCCTTCCTCTTACTTGCTTCCTTGATAGCTATAATCGCCAACTATACACATGCAATGTCAATCGACACCTCCGGATGCCTTGATCTATTATTCCCCGTCCTTCTTTTCATCCGTTCCTCTTTCACGCCTCTTTAATCTTGCTCTCAATCCTCTGTAACCCCTTGCGTGCTAGTGGCACTCCCGCCTTGCTTGATGTGAAAAGCTTAAAAAAATACAACTTACATAAAAAAAAAAAAAAATATTTCCTCCAGTGGGAGTAGTGGTTGGTTTTGAACTCTTAAAAAATGAATAAAAAACTTTTTATTTTAGTTGCAGCACCATCACTTGACAAGACACCAGAAGTGTTTTGTAGTCATGTTATAACATACGTATGCTATAATTTTTAAATAAATATAAAATTATATGTGAAATAGACAAAGACCGACAATTATTTTAAGACATTTTTATGTTCATACATTCTTTTTTATAGATACATTTATTAAAGTAAATGCTCTGTTTATAATAAACTGTATTAACAACATCTACCGGCCTGAATATCCGAGAAATTGTCATAGATAATCTGCGTCCTCCGACAGGAATCGAACCTGTATCCTATACGGAACCATCATATAGCCTGACGTGCTTTTACCGATTTCGCCACAGAGGAGAGTTTCTGTTAGCAAGGTCAATTTTACTGTTTTTAAACTACAATCCTCCATGATTCTCTCACGTACATTCATATCAGCTCGATGCGTATCCAAATGTAAACAAATGACGTCACACATTATGAAATGGACAAAGTCCGACAATTATTTTAAGACATGGAAAATTGTAGTTTAAAAATATATGTATAAATCATTTTTTTCTGTGGATTATCTTTTTGTATTATAATTTCCTCTCAGTTATCAGGTGCAACGTGTATTCTAGAAAAACGTTTCAGTTATGTTATATATCAACGCGTTTAATCTCGTCTACACAACTACGGCAGTGTTTTCTAAACAATCATATATTTATTCAGGACCATACTAAGCAAAAAAATTGCGTGGTACATATAACTCGTTTCGCGCTGAATATATTAGCCCCATTTATGACGTGATTTATGCTAAGTTATGTGCATAATGATGCCTCATTAACATAATTCGGCGGGTTTCCACAATTCACATCACATATCCATAAAGATAATTCAATTATCTGAAGTGATGAGATGTTCTATAGAGAAGTTACTTTGACAAGTTGACGAGGCAAAAAAGAAAAATGAGTTTTTGCCTTTTAACGGATTGGCTGATGTATCTTGACTGACAGCGAAATTATTCGATCATGTTAACCAACGCTTTTCTGTCAGGAATTATCGAAATTTGCGTAAAAAATTATTATTTTTTGCTCAATAATGAAGGTATTTGGGGGTAACTTCGAAAATGTTATGCACATAATTGGTTTAGATTGGTTTGGTTTATTTTGTTTTACGGCATATCAACCTCAATGGGTTATTTAATGCCGCCAACTTTGGCTTAGATTATTTTGGTTTATTTTTTTAAAAAGATAGATAAATTCGTATGAATAGAATATGTATTCTTTCGTTTTAGATTGATTTGGTTTATCTTGTTTAACGGCATATCAACCTCAATGGGTTATTTAATGCCGACATTTTAGGATAGATTCGTATGAATAGAATATATTATTCGTTTTGGTTTGGTTTATTGGTTTGGTTTATTTTGACATTTTTTAACAATTGGTTTGGTTTATTTTATCAACCTCAGTGGTATATTTATTGCCGACGAAATTTTTCTTACTGGTAATATTTTCCTTAAAAATGTATTGTTTTTAATATTTTTATTTCAAAAATGTATTGCTTTTAATATTTTAAAATTATATATATATTGCTGGTAATATATATTTTTTTCAAAAAATGTATTGCTGGTAAAATGCTGGTAATATTTTTTCTTCAAAATTGTATTTTCAGTAATATTTCTTTTTTCAAAAAATGTATTTCTGTGAATGTTCATCTTTCAAAATGTATTGCTAGTAATAATTTTCCTTCAAAAAATTGCTGCTAAAAATATTTTTCTCCAAAAGTGCATTGCTGGTAATAATTTTCTCTTTTTTCAAATATGTATTGCTGGTAATATTTTTCTTCAAAAATGCATTGCTGGCAATACCTTTTTCTTCACAAATGTATTGCTTTTTTCTTCAAAAATGTAGTTCGGATGATATATTTAAAAAAAAAATATATTGCTGGTAATATTTTCCTTTTAAAAATATACTGGTGGTAAATTGCTGGTAATATTTTTTCTTCAAAAATGTATAGCTGGTAATATTTTTTTCCAAAAATTTATTGCTGTTAATATGACATGTTTGCTCCATGGTGTCTTCAGCATCCTTCGGCAGAACTAGATTTCTATTGATTCAAGCCTCTTCTTCATTTTTGTGGAGATTGTGTGGTACATTCTGTCATGGAGGAGGATAGATAACACGTGACACTTTAGTACTCTTTTTCTTGTTTCTGGCAAAATTTGTCTCTTTCTCTGTAGTCTACTGAATGCGTCTTTGACTATCCCTGTACGCCTTCGGATTTCAGTGTCAAAATTTACGACCTCTGCTAGAACACTTCCCAGATATTTAAATTTCAGGACTCCGATATGTAATTCACGTTTTGGGCTGATCACTGATCCCTTTCCTTACACACTATGGATGGTGAGAATCAAATCCGAGGCATTTTTCAGGGATTTTCTAGTTAACTTGTGATATACGAATATCTGTGTGAGTTAAAGTTAAGCAACGTCGAGTCTGATCAGTACGTAGATGGGTGGCCACTTGGGAATACTAGGTGATGTAAATTATTAATATATCATTTAATAATATATAATACGTTAATTAATTTAGTTTAATGACTATTTTATTCAGAACTTGTTAGGATAAATCCCTTTTTGTACACTGAGTAATCGGAGACATGCTTATGTATATTTATAGGGGGAGGAAAAGAACGTTTGAGGCTGATCAAAAACAATAGGAACATATTGTGATTTACTAAGCGTAGCTTTGATGTGACACAAGGCCGAAGTTACGGGGTCACTAGTGAGGATCAAAGTACGTATTCATTAGCAAACTTGTCTCGCCAGATCAACTACAACTGAATAGTGAGTTCGATCCTTACTAGCTGCAATTCATTAAACGTGACAAGCTTGCTAATCCTTACACCACGTCAAAGTGGCAAATTGTGATTTTCTAAGCAGAGCATACATGGGTCATACGGCCAAATGCATGGGGCACCCAGTGAGGATCGAACTCACTATTCAGACGTAACTGTCAAACGAGACAAACTTGCTCACGTCGAAGAGATAAATGGTGATTTTCTAAGCAGGGCATACATGTGGCATACGGATGAATGTATGGAGCAGTCAGTGAGTATCGAACTCACTATTCAGTCGTAACTGATCAAACGAGACAAGCTTGCTAATCATTGCCCCACGTCAATGTGTTCAGTAGTGGTTTTACTAAGTTTAGATGTGGCACAAGGCCGAATGTATGGGACACCCAGTGAGGTTCAAACTCGCTATTTAGTTGTAACTGATTATACGAGACAACCTTTTTAATCATTACACCACATGCCCAATGGTGATTTTCTAAGCGTAGCATAGATTTGGTACACGACCGAAAGTACGGGGCACCTAGTGAGGATCGAAGTCACTTTTTAGTCGTAATTGATCCAGAGAGACAAGCTGGCTAACTATTAGACCACTTTGAAGTGCCCAATGCGGATATATACAGGGTGAGGCAGAGAGGACGTTCGTTTTTGAAAAATATTCACATAATCATTACTTTTAGCTTCAATTTTTTTTTACTCACATCAATGTGTTCTTACTGAATTACCATTTGATAAAATCAAGTGTGAAAAACAACATCCCTCATTTGGTATCCTTTTTCATTGATGCATTTCTGAAGGCATTCTTGGAAGTTGTCCTCCACTCTTTCCAGCATTGTGTCACTTTGGGGTTGTACAATCTTTCATGCAGTTCTCTCGGATTTTCAAGGTGCCCAATAATGACAATTCTGCTGTTTTACCATGCCACTGAGATGAAAAGGAGCTTCATCAGTCATTAACAAAATGAGGTTGTCATTTGCCAAAAACATTTGTTCCATCTGACGTGCGAAGTCACCCGGTCCAAATGCTGTCCAATGACCAATTTGTAGTGGGTGGAAATGCAGTTCCTCATGCAAAACACGCCTTACCAAACGATTATCAATGCCAAGTTCAGTAGCATGCCTCCAAGCAGAGCAATTCGGACTGCACAGTAAAACTTGTCTGACGCGTTCCACATTTTCTGGGGTACGTACCATTTGTGGGGCAACCACCGGTCTGCTATTCTTTAGTGTACCTCGTGTACGAAGTGTTTGGACCTAACGTAAGATTGTGCTACGAGTTGGAACATCGTGATTTCGGTGAATGTTGAATCGGTGACGAAACCCACGTTGAACTGCAGTGACAGATTCGTTATTCTTCGTGAAACTGTCGTAGGCGAACTGAAAAGAAAAAGAAAATGCTAATACATAACGGTCTGAGCAGTACCTGACAAACATAGGTCCCTCCCCTGGGGCTGAGTAATAACCATTTCAAAAACGTCCACGCTCTCTGACTCACCCTGAAATGCTTTAAAACTTTTTCAGAAACACAAGTTTACCCGTCTCTCAACCAAATTTCACTGCAAGCCTACTTGGTTACACCTTGGCTTGCACGTATGATATATCTGAGATGACACAGACCGAATGGTACCCGTGGGATATATGACCCTCCCCCTAGGACTGAGTAATAGCCATTTCAAAAACGTCCACCCTCTCAGCCTCTTTCTGTATTAGGGATATTTTTTTTTACTCTGAAATTATTTCCTACTAATATTATGTTACTATATGTAGTGATCATGGTTCTCCACAACGTCCTATCAGTTGTAGCTCTTAGCAACCATTGTTTTTTTACTGTAGTTTACCCAGCCATCCATCCACCCAAAGCTCGTCAGGTCGAAAGCCTACATTAATCCCGTGTCCCTTTTCCCTTCGATACATCCTGTGAGTATCAAATTCTCCAATTTTTTCCATTTGTCTCATTGTGATTCGGATGTTGTCTCCTTTTGTTTTCCATTTCCCTTAAGATTCATTTGTTGCGTACGTGCTCAGTCCATGTTATTCTCAGTATCCTTCTGTAGAACCAAATTTATGGTGCGTTCAGTTTTCTCTTCATCTGTGAGGAAAATGTCCAGCTTTCCTGTCATAAAGGATGATTGCTGTTACATAACAATTCAGCATTCTTTTCTTTCTTTCTAATGAAATGTCGATGTTTCTTTTTCCTTTTACGTTTTTTTTTCGTCGTCTATTATTTAAATATATATTATTTAAATCAGACCCCCCATACACACGCATATATATATATATATATATATATATATATATATATATATATATATATATATATGTAAGCAAATATATGGATATAGATCCGACAGTATGAAAGAAAAATACAGAAAAAACAAACAAAAATCTGAATATGCAATTATGTAGTATTAATGTTAATATAAAGTCGACGTCGTTTTTCAATCGCCTTTTTAATATTTTAATTTTTGGAAATCATCTTCGAATACGTTTTAACAACATCGCCCACGTGACGACTACGTGATCATATTTAAACGGAACGCTGATCTGTATAAAATTTCAGTTATCTGTTTGGATTAGTTGGGCTCTTATGTCCATCGTCTTTTGTGTTAAATTTTTATAAGTTATAATGTTAATTATGTTTAAATGAAAATGTCCATGAAGATGGTCTTAAATAGACCGAAACGTCCGACGTCGACTTTATATTAACATTAATACTACATAATTGCATATTCAGATTTTTGTTTTTTTTTTTCTATTATTATTTTCATATATATATATATATATATATATATGTATGTAATTATTTATTTAAAAATATGATTCCAAAACGCGACATAAGAAGTCTCATGTTTCAAAACAAGAGCCGAAAACTTCAATATAAGCTATGCTTCAATATAACCTTATGCTCTACTTTTGTATCGAGCACTATTTTTTAAAAATAATAATTAAAATACTAAGGGACTTTGGATTATTTACCTAACCAGTTCCTTCCACACACACACACACACACACACACACACACACACACACACACACACACACACACATATATATATATATATATATATATATATATATATATATATACCATCCTGGGTATGTGTTGTGGAGTGATTTCACAGCGGAGGCTTGTATTTGTACTAAGTCGGTCCTAAAATAGGTTCGACGTACAAAACGTTAGGAACTTGATATAATAAGTATAACGCAGAGTAATCTAGTTGTGGTCGCTGATACTTTAGTATTCGATTAAATGTCGTCCGACATCGACTGACGATATTCAGTCACCCCACCACGAGGACGTCATGTGGCACAAGACCGGTTTAACGTGGGATCTTCGAGCCCGTGTGATCTCCGAGCCCGTGGGCTCGGCCAAAAATATGCCCATTGAACCCGTATAAACGGGTTCAGGTGGGTTTACCTTCGAAAGAGAATCCGCCCTTCGGCGTAGCCTCTTTCGGGTTCCTCCCCGCCCGAAGGCAGAGAGTTCAACCGATCAGCCGGTCGTCCGACATCGACTGACTGACGAACTGATTGCGTTACTCTTACTACTCCTACTTATTATAGGTGGGAGAGTCTATTAACTATAGAATAGGTGTGTTCCAGTATAGTATGACAATAAACTACATCTGCGTCCTTTGTAATACGATAAACTACGTCCAACAGCAAGACCTCTGATCAGGAGGTTTTGAGGAGCGTGGAACCACCCCTTAATGGCTGGTGTTCCCAGGATCACCGTGAGCCGGGGTGGTAGCACCTGTTCGGGTCCCAGCTAAGGCCAAATAGTTAACCCCGAAATTGTGGTAAAAATCATTATAAAGGTGTAAAAATGAGTTTTAATACCAGTGATACTTTGTAAAAGAATTGTTAATAAATTTTTGAAGAAAAATAACTATTACCAGCAACATATTTTTGAAAAAAAAAAACATTACCAGCAATGTTTTAAAATAATATTACCAGCTATACATATTCGAGGAAAAAAATATTACCAGAAATAGATTTTTGACAAAACAAAATATTAACAGGAAAAGATTTGTCGGTACTAAATAACCCAATGAGGTTCATATGCCGTAAAACACAACAAACCAAACCCCCTCTCTCTCTCTCTGTCTCTCTCTGTTTCTCTCTCTCTCTCTCTCTATATATATATATATATATATATATATATATATATATATATATATATATATATCACCAGACCTGTCCCGTGAGATTTCTTTTTGTGGAGATATGTGAAGGGATTGGTCTATGTCCCCACCCTTATTGCTAGCATTGATGAACTCAAGCAGAGAATCACTTCCGCACTGGATGATGTTACTGGAGACATGCTACAGCGTGTTTGGCAAGAGCTTACCACCAACTTGACGTGTGCCGTCTCACAGGCGGTGCACATATTGAACCCTTATGAAATCAGTTCCATAATAACTTTTGATGTTCAAAACCTAAATGTTCAATTTCATTGAGATAGACTTAGCAGTTTTCTAGATAATTGCTTTTAAAATGAAGTCAAATTTTTTTTTGAGGGGGGGGGTCACCCTGTATACTTCCTATTCAGTTCAATTTACATCCTTCTGTTTTATTAAATGGACAAATATCGATTTTTTTTTATTTCGGCCTGAGAGCTTTTTAACAACCCTCGCATACAAAGTGACAATCAGGCAGACAAACATACAAACACTCGTAAACACGCACATATATGTATATATGTAAGTTATATTTAGGCAGCAAGCACGTTCGATTAAAGGGAAGCGACAGTGTCTGTGTGTCTAAATTTGTATTGTATTTCTCCAGTTTTCAAATTAGATATTGTAATTGAAGTTGTGGATAAACTGTCTGATATATATATATATATATATATATATATATATATATATATATATATATATATATGTGTGTGTATGTATATATATATATATATATATATATATATATATATATATATATATATATATATATATATATGAATGTTGCTATAAGTTTATGCCGACGCGTTTCGTCTTCCAAATTTAGCAAGGCAAAATTGAAGCGAAATATTTTTGTTTTCATAGTTATATTAAATCCAAAATTTTTAAAAAAGATAGACGCTTTTGTGTAATGCTCTTTCTGGCTAATCTTAACTTCCTTTATACTAAGAGTTTTTTTTTTATTCTTCCATATCGAAAATATACTCAAATTCATAGAAGAATTGGTATAAGAATTACAAGACAAAAAAAAAAAACACTTAGTATAAACGAAATTAACATTAACCAGAAAAAGTCTAAAGCAGAAGCGTGTCTCTCTTTTTAAATTTTGGATTTAATGCAACTATAAAAACAAAAACATTTCGCTTGAATTTTGCCTTGCTAAGATCAGCAGACGAAACGCGTCGGCATAAACTAAGCTTTTTTCCTATTGTTATTCTTATATTTTTTTTTCTTATCCATAGAATTATTCTGGGAATTTTACTATATTGTTGACATGGGAAAAAAAATCTCTTAGTATAAAGGAAATTAACATTAGCCAGAAAATGTCATTCTTATAATTTGTCTTATTCATAGAATTGTTCTGGGAATTTTACTATATATGAATGTACATATAAAAATGCAGGCCCAAGTACATACACAAACGTACACGCACATATATCATGTGCATATAGACAGTGTATGGATACAGAAATCAACTCTGCATGATGACTATAAATCATCATACGATCTTCAGAGCACGTGTCACTATTCCTGCCAAAGGCTGCATATATAACCCACTGTGAACATACCGGAAGTTGTAGAAGAGGGAAACCGGTCCTTCAAGTGCTTTTGTTTAGGATTAATGCTGTAGGTTATTCATAGTACTGACCTTGAGTTTGTTCAGTTATTTATTTAATTTCATGCACTTTTCTCGCTTCTAAATTTTGGCATTTCAATTAAAAACTTATTAGATTCGAGTTCACGTAGAGGGTGATCCGAAAGTCTTGCCGGCCTAACCCTCTCTTCCAAACTGTAGGAGCTCGTGTCAGCTCTCTGCAATAGAAAATTATATTATGGAGTGGTAACAAGACGTTCGTACTACCATGTATATTATTTAGTCATTTAAGTCGCCATCTTGTTTACAGGTAGTGTAGGTGGAATTTATTTTCGTGTCTGCATTGAAATGAGCTCATGTTTTTTGCTTCAGTGTTTATATTATTCTGTAAATTAATATTGTTAATTTCTCCTCTAGGTCAAGGCGATATTGTTTTGAGAAAGTATAAAAATAACTATAAAAAAAAGTATAATTATTTGAAAAAAAAGTATTTTGATTAAGTTAAGAAAAATGTTATCTGCACGTTGCGCAGCTGTTATCAGAAAAGTGACATCAGTGAAACGTGTTGAAATACCCTTGAGGAAATTATGACTCCATCTCTTCTGTCCACAAATACGGGTTAAATAGGAAGGTAGTCAAGGCAATCTAGGACAGGCTTCAGCAATCTACGGCATGCTTGCTACACGTGTAGCACGCCATGCAATTTCTAATAGCACGCAGCCACAAATGGCCTCACGAAGTACGAACCAATAGCTACTACAACACAAAGAAGACAGCTGTTTCAATTTTAGTATATACTAAAGTATATATACTATATATTACTATATAAAACACATTGTAGAGCAGGTATATTGACCTTGATTTATATAAAAATACATATACTGTTGGCAAACGGAATGATTTTAAAAGCCTAATTCGGCACATAGTTAGTAAAAAGTTGCCGACCTCTGCTCTAGGAGAAGGTTAATACTAAATTCAAAACCGGTTGAGCATGGAGCTGTAAAAATCCTACTTGCTACAGAAACCACAGCAGCAACACCTGACGTATTGATTCTGTGGCTCTATACTCCACACAGAAGTATAATGACATTAAGAGGGTGGCAGGTAATGAAATGAATTAACTTCTTCACTCTTGTTCGATTTTTGAATATCATGTACAGATACATAATATCAAGATTTCAGAACTATTTGATATGTAATCCTACAAGTATTTTTAGATGATGAAACCTAGTGTTGATCTCTAAATTTCGTCATATTTATCGAATTAACAACTTTTACTGACAAAGCAGAATGTTTTGTTTGTAAATTCTCTTTTAATTCTACTCTTGATTCATCTGGAGTATATTCTTGTTCGATTTTTGAATATCATGTACAGATACATAATATCAAGGTTGTGGAACTATTTGATAGATAATCCGACAAGTATTTGTAGATGATGAAACCTAGTGTTGATTTCTAAATTTCGTCATATTTATCGAAATAACAACTTTTACTGACAAAGCAGAATGTTTTGTTTGTAAATTCTCTTCCAACCTCTTGATTGATCTGGAGTATATTTGCTTGACTTTCCATTTACAACTGCCTCACTACTATGTGATATATATGTCACTCCGGCTATGGTTTCTGCTGCCATCTCTAAACTGAATTCCCATAAAGCCTGTGGACTTGATGATATCACTGCAAAAGTCCTTAAGTAATGTGCCCCTAAACTGTCTCCTGTTCTTTCTAAACACTACAATAAATATCTGACTGCTTCTCGTTTTGCTGGTTGTTGGAAATCCTCTTCTATAATTTCAGTCTTTAAGAACTCAGGCAAATTGTGATCCTTCCAGCTATTGGTCTATTAGCGTTCTATCAATTTCTGGAAGAGTACCAGAGGCTCTAATCAACTTCAAATTGGTTAAACATCTCACCTCGCAGGGTTTTCTTTCAGACAACCAATATGGCTTACGCTTCTCTACGTCCACTGCAGATACATTAACGGTTATTTGCTGAAAGATTCTGTCAAACTTTAGATTGGAAGGATGAAGCTCAGGATGTTACTTTAGACATCTCGAAGACATTTGACAGAGTTTGGCATAATGGTCTTCTTCATTACTTGAAAAGTTATATTATTTTTGGAGGGATTTTTCAACTGATTCAGTCTTTCTTATCGAATCGCGAAATGGCCATTCTTGTAAATCATTTAGCATTAATGCAGGCATCTCCCAGGTCGTTATCATTGGACCTATGATGTTCATACTTTTTATAAATGAGCTTCTTGATATCATCAGTTCTCAGCTCAGTTTTTATGCTGATGTGACAACCATTTATTCCTTTCTTGATAGTAAGTCTGAACGGTCCGATAAGGTGAAATTGGCAGCTGCTACAAAAAAGGACCTACTTTCTGTTGTTAACTGGGGTAAGGAATGGTTTTTTAATTTAAACGTCACCAAAAAGAAGTTACTCACTTTTAATCGTCTGACAGAAACAATTTTTACCTTCCATCATCATGATGCTAAACTCGAGGAGAGTGATTCATTGCGTCTTTTTAGACAAACGTTTTCTCTGACATGAAATGGAAAGATTATATCAAAGCATTTGCTTGGTCTGTTGCTGGGAAATCGGTTTTGTCGAACTTGACAGTTATTCTCGACAGAATTTATCTTACATATTTAGAAGTCCACCATTCGTCCTTGTTTTGAATACTTCTGCCACATCTGGTCTGCTACCCTTGATATATATTAGAGCATCTTTATAAAAGAAGAATCTGCAATGTTATTTGTCATGACCTTGCATCTCACCTTCAGTCACTTTCCTACCGCCATAGCTTCCCTGCGCCTTTTCTATAGATATTTTCTTAATAATTGTTCTGATTCATTTTCTTCTGTGGTAAATGGACTATATAAAGTTAAATACAGTTCAAGATTTGCAGCAAAGTCTCATTGTTTTACAGTTGAAATGGCTAGATGTAACCGCAAGTTCTATGCTAACAGTTTCTTCTATTGCACTTTTCGCTTCTTGCTTTCAAATCAACTTTGATCTTCAAAAATGTAAATGCAATGTCAATCGTTATCTTCTGTCTTATTAATTATTTTTGTTTTAATATTCTCTCTCCTTAATAGTGTTTATCTCACATTCTCTAACAGTCAGTCACCCTCCCACCTTGCGTCTTAGGGGCATTACTGCCTTACTTGTGGTGAAATGATTTTTTTAAAATCATAAAATTACAATACACTAATATATCCGATTTTTAATACAAACTTAAATTATGCCAACAGTTCAAGAAATAATAAGTTTAGCTGAATTCGATAAAAGGGTGAAGCAAAAAAAAAAAAGGTTGAGAATTTTAAATACGTGAAAGGGATGAAAAATAATAATTAAGAGAAAGATAACCAGATTATCAGAAATGAATGAAAAAGCGGGAATGAAAGGAACGAAGGAAAACGAAAAAAAAAAGAGAGGGGAAATGAAAGAAAGACGTGTGAAAGAAACGAGTTAATGAAGAATTGAAACGAAGGAAAGGGAAACAAATTAAAATAAGACAGAAAGTTTAAAAGAAAAATAAATGAAAAATGAATAAGGAAAGGAGAGAAAAGAATATATATATATATATATATATATATATATATATATATATATATATATATATATATATATATACCCACAGACATATATAAAAGTTGTCTCGCAGAGCCCTAATAAAAACACGAGAGAATGCATACAGAAATAAAAAAAAATTAACTGACAATCACTGGAAACCTTCGCATACAGCCTCTTGTATGTGTTGTATCTGTTCTGTCTGTCTATCTATCTATCTATCTATCTATCTTATTCTGTTTAATCCACGTGTGCTCGCATCTATCTATCTATCTATCTATCTATCTATCTATCTATCTATCTATCTATCTTATTCTGTTTAATCCACGTGTGCTCGCATCTATCTATCTATCTATCTATCTATCTATCTATCTATCTATCTATCTATCTATCTATCTGTTCAGTGTGCATATCTATCTATCTCAGTCTAATCATATCTATCTCAGTGTGCATATCTATCTATCTATCTATCTATTTATCTATCTTTCTGTCAGTCTGTCTATCTATCTATCTATTTCACTCTGTTCAGTCTATCTGCATGAATGTCTATCACAGACTGCACATTTCTATCTATCTATCTATCTATCTATCTATCTATCTATCTATCTATCTATCTATCTATCTATCTATCTATCTAAGTTCAGTGTGCATATATATTTATCTACCTCAGTCTAAACATATCTATCTCAATGTAATCATATCTATCTATCTATCTATCTATCTATCTATCTATCTATCTATCTATCTATCCCAGTCTGTTCATTATCTATGTATCTAGCTATCTCAGTTCTTTCACATCTATCTAGCAGTTTTTTTTTATCTATCTATCTATCTATCTATCTATCTATCTATCTATCTATCTAGCACAGACTGCTAGATAGATAGATAAATAGATTCTGTCTCATACTTTATACACACACACACACACACTCATAGTCGCCCGTAATTGAAACAGTGTCGTCTATACTGAAAAAGTTTTTATTTCATAAAATATTTTAAGCATAATTTCCTTCTTTTTCAATGAACTTAACACGCCTTTTTTTTCATGAGTCTCATATTCCCTTACCCCACAGACGAAACGTTGCAAGCTTCTCACTATTCTATCGCTTTTTAAAATGTCCAAATGTGTTATATTCCTTAGACCCACCAGCTCAGACGTTCATATCTGTGATTCGACATACCATTGTCCCGGTGGCAAATCATCCCAATTCCCTTCGTATTCCATTCGTAAGGAGTAAGTCCCACTCAACCAGCTTATTCTTCCAGAACAGTCACTTTGTGGATCAGACTCTTCAAGCGATGTTTCCCTGACCGCTACAATCTTCCAGTTCAGGGTCGACCGATATCCATCTGGCACGTCCTCATAATATGCACTTTTTTTATACCTGCTTCTAACAATCTTCCTCAGTAATCCTCTACCTTGAGTAGCCCTTGAGCCTTTTATTGAGTAAACAAAATTAAAAAGGGAGCGATCATTGTACAGTGAAACTGTACTGTCATACAAATCAACACTGCATGGTATCTTTGAGCGATCATCAGAGCATGTGTTGCGCACATATCGATATTTTATCTGCAAATGTTCAGAAAAATACGTGATTGAACGCACACCTAAATATATCAGTCAGTTATGAGCCATGCGTGTATCTTTTTTTCACGCAGTAGGTTGCCATTTTTTCAGCGGTAGACCAGTTGGCATCCAAGCTATAGAACCCGGTCTCTCCTGCTATTTACGCATAGCTGGGAGCCGGGAAGAAAAGAACCCATGCCTTTCCCAAGAGTATTAGCAAATAAGAGAATGTAATGGATTTGATTGGAATTTGAACTCGGCTCTCCGACTTCTCAATCCGAGCCGCTATCCATTACTCCATCGTGAATGAACCGAACTAGTATTTGAGTTCGGCTCTCCGATTCATGCACGTATTTGCACGTAAGTGAATATTAGTTATGTGCCATGCGTGATACGCGCTTAGGCGATCATGTATCTTTCGATACATGACTGACAAAGCAGATTCTTTTCCTGCAGTAGGTTGCCATTTCTTTCTGCGGTAGACCGGTTGCCATTCAAGGCTATAGAACCCGGTCTGTCCTGCTATATACTCATAGCTAGAGGGAGAAGAAGATGATTCATACCTTTTCCAAGCCCGTAAGTGAATGTAATGTATTCGACGGTCATTCGAACTCGGCTCTCCGATTCCTCAATCCGAGCCATTACCCATTGCTTCCTCCAAATATATAGTACAACAAATACTTAAACTTGACATATAGAAAAACTAATATACCTATATACTTGTGTTGGGCCGAAGGTCCGTGAAACAAATGCGCTCAACAGCTATTTTTGTTTATTTGTTTGTATTTATTTTGGGGATTCTATTGACTTTCATGTTCTGAATAAACCCTGTCTCAAATCGGTTTTTATTCTTTCTTTTTTTATTTTTTTGTTGGGGGAGGCTTGAAATCATGTCTTAGATCGCCAACAGAGTTTGTGGTTACGATCTCGGACAGATCACTGTATGCGAGTTGATAATAATGGCGAAAAGGCGAGGCTGGGCAATAAGAGACGAATGATTGGCGGATATTGAAAAAGATTCACGTTTCAGAAGAACCTACGCCACCGATATCGTAATTTTGGGCCTTGAACCTCGGTGAGTAAGTGCCTCGCTCCCTGACCCTATCGGCCTGTCTCCTTTGTGGGTAAGGCCGAAATTACTCATTTCTCTCTCTCTCTCTCTGTTTCTCTCCATTCAAAAAAACAAAAAACAACAATAAAAAAAAAAAAAAACAAAAAAAAAAAAAAAAAAACGCGGTTAGCGGTGTGATGGACATAAAGCAGGTGTTCTTTCTATGATATGGAAGTCTTTACCTGACCAGGTAAGTAATAGGAAATAAAAAAAAAATAAATTAAAAAAAACATGTACAAAAAAGTACAAAAAAAGCTCTAATATGTAGACATAAAACGAATTAAATAAATTTAATCAAACATAAAAGAAGAGATTTAAGGAAAAAGTAAAGTAAGGAGAGGTACTGACGGAGAGAGTTGGAGATTGAGGAGAAACTGTATGTGGGCTGTTTTGAATAGGATAAGGAGGAGGAGGAGGAAGCAGAGTGAAAGATGCTAGAAAAGGCCGGGGAGGAGGTCTTAAAGAAGGAAGTCGTAGTGGTAAAGGCAGGTAATCCACTGAGGGAAGGGGCGGATCGGTTACAGTAAATAAAGATAAATTGCTATAAAGACGAACGGGGTCGCTAAAAATAAATAAAGAAAGGCCGAGAAGGAAAAGCTTATTAGGAGAATAAAAGAGAAAGCGGAAGACTATAAATGTGTTCCAATAAGCGATACCCAGGATAGCAGGTTCAATCTCTACTTCCATCAAATTGTTTTTTTTTAGCGGCATATCAACACCTGTATAGGGTATTTAATGTCAAAATCTAAATATTTAGTCTATATATCTGACCTGAGGTATTATGTACGCTATTTGCATTATTCGGACTATTGTCCTCATCTTTATCGCCATATTTATTACAACGTTCCGGCCGTTGTACGCTCCGGCGTTCTTCAGCCGGGTGGAATGTCGAACCGAACCATTTATTTCGCTTACTGGGGTAGACTGTTCTAGCTCCAAGTGACATGTTTAATGGATGTCAGTTGCCAGTTATCTCCTGTTAATTCCCCTCTCCAAGTTCTCCACTGCCTTAACTGGGTATTGAACTCACACTCAAGGACACATGGCACAGTGGATAAAGGCGTTAGTTAGATCCAGTGACAGGACCCAAAGGGTGTGAGTTCAATACCCGGTTAAGGCAGTGGAGAATTAACAGGAGATAACTGATAACTGACATCCATTAAACATGGCACGTGGAACTAGAACAGTCTACACCAGTGTTTGAAATAAAGGGTTCAGTTCGACATTGCGATCAACTGAAGAAGGCCGGAGCGTACAACGGCCGAAACGTTGTAATAAATATGGTAACAAGGATGAGGACAATAGTCCGAATAATGTAAATAGTATACATAATACCTCATCTCATAAATATAGATAGATACTGAAAGGCCGAAACGTTGTGATAAATATGGCGACAAAGATGAGGACAATAGTCCAAATAATGTAAATAGTGTACATAATACCTCATCTCAGAAATATAGACAGATACTGGAGGGCCGAAACGTTGTAATAAATATGGCGACAAAGTTGAGGACAATAGTCCAAATAATGTAAATATGTACATAATACCTCATCTCAGAAATATAGGCAGATACTGAAAGTCCGAAACGTTGTAATAAATATGGCGATAAATATGAGGACAATAGTCCGAATAATGTAAATAGTGTACATAATACCCCGTCTCAGAAATATAGACAGATACTGAAAGGCTGAAACATTGTGTTAAATATGGCAACAAAGATGAGGACAATGGTCGGAATAATGTAAATAGTCTAAATATTTTATATCCAATTATTTTTTTTAATGGTTTTAGTTATACATGTCTTACTAATTAACTCATAACTGGGGTGGGGGAAGTAGATTCATAGCTTTCTCAAGAGAATTTACGTGTAAATGAATACAATGAACCCAACAAGAATTTGAACTCCGCTCTCAGATTACAATCCCTTACATTACCCATCATGCATTACACCACCCGCACATGCAAGCTTACAGTACCTTGTATAGCATATAGGTAAATTATGGTTGTGTTTATCCTTGGGTTTATCGGTAAATATTAATTATCTCTATACGTGCGATTCGATGAACTTTAGTCGCGTTTATATTTGATTCCATTGGTAAGAACTGGTCTGGATTATACTTGATGTAATCAATGATCAAGTTAATAGCTGGGTCTATAGGTAAAATTTGTAGGTTTTAAACTTAAGTCAATAGACCAAAATTAATTGCCAGTATAACTGAATTCAAGGACAAACATTGGCCGTCCATGGCCGAGTCGTGAAGCATCCACCTAGTGGGTGTCCCCTTTTAGAACAGGGACAGCACACGTTGTGAAAAAAAAAAAAGACGGATTTTGAAGGAAATGATATTAATAGTAATGGTAATCTTAGCTGTTTCCTTATAAGGAAACATTTAGAATTCATTGACTGTGTAGCCAGTTCTACTGTCGGCTGGAATCTACAAAATCTTTCTCTTAAAAAAAAAAATCAGGAAAATCGGTTTCTCAAGTCCAGTAGCTGTTATTGCTCTTTCCATTACTGATGAGGTTTTCCTGCCTAACATTTTAATTGAAGTGGTGGGAAATGTTAACCTCCTGACTATGTCGTTATTTCCTCTTTGGGTTACATGTGATATCCAATTTAATGGCAGATGCTGTTGAAAGCCACTAAGTGATGAAGTTTTTGTCATTTGGTACAGTTTTGTTTGTGATTCTGTAGCGCAAGTCCCCAAATTCTGAATAAATGTTCTCTTCACGAAAACCCATAGGCTTCACTCGCTTTAACCATTAATGATCTTAGAAAGTGATTGTCTAGAGCAGACAGTTTATATATTACTGAATGTGTTTGGCGTCATGCATATCATTCATATGATAGTCTCAATCAGAAGAGGCTATTTAACTTATTATTAGTTTTATGTGTGGTTTTGTAGTTCTCTGAGGTTCTTCGCGAAACTACCTTTCGACCCTAGGATAGAGTCAATGCAAAAGAATCCTTTCCTTAGCAGCATAGTATGTGCTTCGCCAGAGCTACATACAGTACTGAATTTAAAGTTTTCCTTCTTAGACCAGTTGCCATCGAAGGCTATAGAAGCCTGTCTGATAAGGAATCGACCCTAATCGGGATCATCTAGACAAATGATTCTTTCCTGAGCTGCATAGCATGTGCTTCGCTAGGGCTACATACAGTTTTGAATTTAGAGTTTTCCTTC